CCATTGTGGGAAATTAACTCTGCTCATCGGGACTCAGAGAGACGGTGCAGAAGGGGAAAAACCTGCCCGGATACTTCGATGCGAGTGTGCCCGAGGCAAACTTCCACCCCCGAACACGCTACTGCAGTAGTTTGGGCCCCATAAAAGGAACAGATTCTGCAGATGGAATGGAAAGAAAAGGCTTAATGGCAGGAATCCTTTTAAAGTGAAGCGATAATGCAACCATGCGTACTTTTGAAGATTGAATGCAGAAAGTGGGTTTGATTATGATGGTTTCCATGTGATGACATTATCGAAGTAGCATTAACGGTCGGTGGATATATAGCGAGGAGGAGGAGGCGCTCAACGCTCACCTTTAAAAACAGAGCTGGGAAGATGCTACACAACAGTCTGCTCCATCAACCCCCGAATGAGACGGTGGCTTTTTGCCGTTGAGTCGTGGGACAGTTTCCATGACCACGTAACCATTGTTTACCTGTTTGGTAGAGACGGCCATGAGCAGACGCCACCGACGGCAGCAACGCACGGCGTATGATATAATGTGCAAGCAGTGCAACAGTATCCGTGTGTGTGCTCTGGGCTGTCACAGCGTGTCCACATCCGATTCAATCAGGAGGGTAAGATGTGATATCAGCAGACTGCAGAGTACAGCTCTGCTCACTAAACCATCAATCTTCCTCAAAATACACACACACACACACACACACTGACATAAAAAAGTTGCCGTTGATAGAAAGGCAGAGTCGACCTCGGTGCAGTTCGAGCTTTAATGGTATTCATGACGAACGAGAACAAGTGAGCACCGTCTCCACGGCTGACATCCGAATGCACGCAAACATGCAGCGGCGAACGCACAACACCGCCACCACCACCGCCACAGACACGAAGACTTTAGAGGAAAGAAGCTATTCTTAAGCCATCATTAGCTTTACAAAATTAGAGCAGGCCTGTCTGTGCAGGAGATTTGCACATGATAAATCACAAATAATGGACTCACGTAATGGCTGTATCAGCTCAACTGTGTGTGATTCTAATCCAAGTCTTGTGATCTGGCGGTTGTTAGTACTCTAAAGGAGGAGGGCGGGGGGATGGGAGGGGGTCTCAATTGCGTGACAGAGATTTCAGAAACACCAGCATTCTCCCCTGTCGTAGGAAGACACAGTAACAAAAAGTGCAACTTCACAATGAGCAATCTGTGGTTTACACCTGCCTCCGTCTCTCTGCAGTGACTCATTGTTTGCACTCCTCCGGCTAGCGGTGTGTAGCCGTTTCAGTTCTGGCTCTAGAAGCGGCGTCCTGGGGACTTCTGGGAGCGTTTCCGTCCCCAGCAACGAGGGGAATCATTTTCTTTTAGTTGTTTTTTTTTTCTTTTCTGCTTGCTCTTTCCACAATGGCAGACTGTCACATTCTGAATGCCAATCTCCATCCTGTGGTTACTCGCTCATAAAAATAACTAAGTATAGAGAAACAGTCGCCGTCTTATAGTTACAGGCATCCATAGCCTGCCACATTTAGGGGGTCTGAATTGATTTAATGAGTACAAGCATTTATAAACACTTGACTCCAGAGTTATTTATTAACGCCACATATCCCCTTTTTTAGTGAATAAGAACTTGTGCCTTTTTTACTATATTTTTCTAGCTCAAGGCCACTGGAACAGTTGGGGCACAAATATCAATGTCATTTAAGCAGCTAAAATGACAAGAAGCTGGCAAAAAGAAGGTCCTTCTCAGGTTTAGATGCAGAAAACACATTTAATGTAGTAAATCAAATACTACACAAACAATAAACCGTCTTTTTTGTCGGTGTTGAAAAACAAGTGAACCCGTGTTGTTATTATACAAGTATAATTTCCTATTTAAATCCCATACGTATGAGGCCAATTTTGCAACTTGATCGTGATGACAACATGAACTGCCATCAAAACAAGGTGTTGGCGGACAGCGTGGAGGACTTTCCAGCACCATCACAGGAGACCTGTGAAACAAAAGTAATTCACCCCCATCGGCCCGAGCACGCGGCCCGAGCTGAGGCTGCATCGCTGCGGGCTTCCCGCCTCCGCTGTTGCCTACCTGCAGATCCGCTCCTTGCAGCCTACAATCCATGTACTTTTCCCACGCGTAAGACAAATCAGTCTGCTGCACGCCGGCCATGTCGTCCACACCTCCGCGTCCAACGCCGGTCAGCGCGTGACGCAAGCCGGGATCGACCCGATCCCCACGTCGGGCGTCCTCCCCGGTCCTCCGAGAGGCGGCGAGTGCCCCGGAGATTGCGGCGAACGTTGTCCCGGGTCATTCATGGCAGACCCATGATCCGCTGCCCCGCTTTGCCCACTTTAAAACTGTGCGTCTGCAGAAAAGTGTCAAAGGTCGGTTGGCGTAACGCACTTAGCGGGCAAAGTATCTTCCGCACTGTGAGGTGCGGACAGGTGTTAAATTAAGCACTTTCACCTGACGGAAACTACGCGACGATCGTGACACACCGAAGCGTCACCAAAACATTACGGCGTTGCAGTCGGCTAGCGGGCTAGGTAGCTAGCTGGACAGAACTAACCTGCGTCAAGTGCTCAAGCAGGTTGAAGCAGTTAATTTCCGGCATGGGGTTTAATAGCAAAATAAAAGCATCTAACTTTTTTTTTTTCCAGTAGCCTATTTATATTGTGGATTATATGCTGACGGAAACCCTCACAAAACCCTCAACGATTGACGCATCCTAACATTCGTATATTGGTCCGGCACTTTAACACATTCATCTTTTCTGTTTAAAAGTGAGTTCTATATGTTATATATTTTGAATTGCCAAACCATCAAAGAGTTGTCCCCCAACATGTTAAATGTTACCATTAATATTACCCATCAGTCTATAAATAAACCTATATTATAAAATAAATAGCTTAAATAGCATAAAACCATCATTTTGGGGAATAATTATATTCCCTCTCATTTTTCTTCTTTTCTTTCACAACAAAATTAATTTCATACATGTTGTGACGTATTTACAAGCTTAACCTAAACTATACGCCACAAACATAAATATTATAGATGGACAGAATTGCCCCCCTAACAACGTTGCACTTAATGTTTTATTTTGAAGGTTCTGCTAAATAGCGGTGTAGTATTCTAGCTAGCTTGATGGCTCGAAGTGGCAGGAAAGCTCAATTTCAACCGTTGAAATCGCCCAAATACTGACGTTATATTCACTTTGGAGCCACTAAACCTAATGGGCTTTGCGTACTATTTTAATGAAATAACGTTGTAGTTATATTTAGATATTTATCTGGATAACAATCATAGTGTTAGCTGTAGTTGCACCGCATCGTACGTTAGGCAGCTGTCAAAACAGTGCATACGAAAATATAGTTACCAGACTGTACCAAGAAAAAGCAGCTAATACGTTATGGCAACATCGTTCATGCATGCAGAATGCGCAAATTCAAGTGAGAATAATGAATTTCTATTCATACCTTTCGTTTCCTATCATTTAAAGCCTGCTAATGCTAGCCTTCGTCCAGCAGATGATGGCGTGGGATAATTCCCCCTCAGCGCTGACTGGAAGACAGCTCCATGTAGCACCGCCCCTTTCCTCTTAACGGCTGCGTGAGGGACTTCACCGTCGCAATGACGGTCACGCACTGGAATATCGTTCATTTTATTTGAAAAATATTGTCATTTGCTTCTCAAGTGCTTGTATTTATCATATCCTCTCATCTCTCTGGCCAATGAAAGAACTCACCCAAAAGGCTGATTTATTAATTTCTATCAGTGGTCATTGGGGGATAAGCGATCCTCGCAGACAAGGCGCAGGGTGATACGGCTCACTTTCGACGGTGACACGCCCACTGACTTTTATCGCGTGTCCCATTGGATAACAAACAACCAAATCCACTATCGGTCAGAGCTTTGCGATCAGTAATGGGGAAGCGTTTGATACGCTTCTGTAAATCCACAAAGGGCAGGTTGTAAACGTCAGCTAGAGTCTTGTTAAATCAATCAGGTATAATTGTCATACTTTTGGGAGCCACGGTGGTGTTTTAATATTGTGTAAATAAACCATCAGCCCAAATATAAATGGTTATTCAAAAGCCACAGTATTTAGCTACAGTAAAAGCAAGATTTGACCTCCATCTTTTCAGTCATATTCATGCCCTCAGTCATTGGGCATGAATAAAAAAATGTTTAAGCAATACAAATAAAGTAAATATAAACAAATAAACATTTTGTAGTGAATGACAAGTTGTTTCTTCAAGCAAGATTAAATTTGGTGTTTAAAATTCAATTAAGCTGCTTATATGGGAGGGTTTGGTGAAGACGGGTCATTTTGACCCGGAGGACACAGGGTGTATACAGGAAATGAGGACAACAGGAGGGTTAAACAGACAGAACAACTATTTTGATGATCAATTCAATGTTTCAAGGAAGCCTTTCATAAGTGCACTCGTGAAAAGTGAGGACTTAATGCTTATATTTCTCTTAATATGAACTGAAAAAAACCCTTTTATTTTAGAAAGTTTGTAGGAAATGTGAACAATCAGAACCGTAAACTAATCAAATAAAACAAAGTTGCAGCCCTAAACCTAATATTGCTGTTCCATTTAGGAGGCAGAAATATCCCACATTGCAAATGTATTAAGTTCTCGTTAATAAATGGCATTAAGGGCCCCGCTGGATGCATGTGTCTCCCTTTTAAACATCACACTAATCCAAATGTGTTTACTTGGAGGCAGATTACAGGTTTCAGTTCTACTTGGAGAAAATGAACGATGATCCAGTGACACAGATTTGGACAGGCTTCTGCATTTTGATATCTGCTATCGATTGACCACTTGTTCAGCCACAGCAGATATTTGACATGATGGGGTTTACCTTGGTTCCACCTACCGCAGCACAGCACCACACACATATATATATATTTATATATGCTATATGTGTGTGTGTGTAATAAACCCTACCTAACACACGGTGTCACTATTATTACACTAGTACCACAGACCCAGGCCCAACTTGTTAGAAAAATGTTTATTCTTTTGCTGCCAAGCATTCAAACTCCTCCAACCAGCTTGCACAGACACTCGTCCTATTCCACAATAATACTCCAATGAGACAAACTAATCCAAACATGCCACAGTGTACAACTGACACGAGATGACGCCACGCATCGCTGTGATACATTTCACATTAAATGATGTATCCCCTATCCCTTGAGTCTATGTGCACTTAGGAAAAGACAACATAATAGTGTTTTTATTTACAATTCTCAATGTTCCGTAATTGTGATTTCATAAAGGGAAAGGGGGGGGGGGGGTACAGATAAGCATTACACTGAGCAATGAAAGGCACAGGAAGTTCACCTCTGGTTTTCAGTGGCATTTTCAGCAGCTATCGTTTCGTAATGCTGAGTGGCTCCTAATTTGCGGTCAAACATCCAAACAGTGTCAACGCTCATGGCACAGCCGTCTCCGTTCAGTATCCGCTGTCTCTCTCCACGCAGCCCGCCCCCACCGCGCTGCCGGGACATTTGCAGGAGCGCCCGTTAGGAGTCGCTAAACAGAGGTGAGTGCAGCCCCCGTTGTTCACAGCACAGTAGTTTTGGCCTGCAGGATGTGAAACAAAACACACAAACTCTTACTAATGCGGGACATTCCGGGACATTCGTATAAATCATGAGCCAACGTAGCAAGGAACCAGCAGGAAACTGTCTCTTCACTGTTTGTTCAAGAGATATACACATAGTGTGAGCAAACACAGAGCAAACTCCAGATGTTGGAGGCCCCCCTTTCCCTTGACTCCACATTCCCTGGCGTTAAGCATGCAACCTTATCTGGAAGAGAAGAAGGGGGCCTGGTGTTGCACAGCAACATCAGGCATCCCTTCCCTTCCCTTCATGACGAGTACGAGCTGCAGAATGTCTGCCGCTATACTTTCAGACGCTGCAGATCTCATTTCTCCATTCGGTGTCCTTTACACGGGGAAGAAAACTGCCGCTAGGTTTGAAAGAGCGGAGTGAATGGATCATAAGGCTGCCTCAGGGGCAGCCCCCAAATGTACAAGGGTCGAGCTATTTCTAGGAACGGCTCTTTACGGGACTGGGCGGGTTCACTCACCCATCGCCGGGTAAATGATTTGACCGTTTCAACAGGACAAGAGCAAACATTTTAAAACGGATTTCACAGGACGTCTGCCATGTTTACCCGACGGGCACTGGGCGTAGGCTGTGGCGATCCCGTATATCTTGGTCCGTTTCTGAGGCTGGAACTCGTCTGACTCCTTGCCGGAATGGCGGTCCACTGCAATCACAGCATACCTGTCGTAAACAAAATAAGCGTAGGAGTTTAGCGATCCGGTCGAATCCCAGCGAGCAGCCGGTCACCCCTGTGTTTTCGTGTAACGTCTGTCAAGAATCAGTGCGGGGGATACTGTAGCTTTTTTTTTGCCGTATCTGACATTGTTTGAGTGCCCCCCCCCCCCACACACCAGCGAAGCAACAGCGTGGCAAGATCAGAGTGAGGCCCTGGAGGTCACTCACAGACGCTACGCTGGAGAAATTGCAAGCAGCTGCCACTTTTTAGAACGCTGCCTCACCCTGCATACCCACTCACACACACAGACACACACATAACACACAAATAGACCACCCAACCCCCACATTTTTTTGCAGTGGCTAACTTAGAGAATAAGGAGAAAGAAAGCTCCACAGTCTTAAGAGAAGTCTGGAAGAACTTCAAGGGCTGGGGAGCTTTTTGACCTCTGACTTAACCTCTCCTTCCTCTACCTTGACTGATCTGAGTTCTGACATTGCACATTGGGCCGTGGAAAAGGGCTGGATTATATCCTTCATTCTATGAATTACAATGTCTGCTCATTTAAAACTACTTTTGTTGTGGTAATAAATCATAAAAGGCAAAAGAAGTGTTCGTGACAGTAGAAAAAGTCAAACCTCTGCCAGTCAGTGTAGTAGATGTTCCTCCCAAAAGACGTGATTCCAAAAGGGTACTGAAGCCCCTCCATGACCGCCCTGCGGTCGCCGCGGCCCGGATGGGTGCACTCCAGCTTGTGCGTGCCTGCAGGCGAGAAATTACTGCTGATGTGCCAGACATCATTTCATAGATGAGTCATCCGTCTGAAATGTACATTACCTGCGTCCGCCCAGCAGAGCAGGGAGCTCTGAGAGTCATAAGTCAAGCCATTCGGCAAGCCCAGATCGTCTTTAACCAGCACCCTCCTGTTGGATCCGTCCATGTAGGAGGTCTCAATCTTGGGGGCTTGGCGGTTCCAATCGGCCCAGTAAAGATTACTGTAAGGACGGGTGTTAGTTATGTATCAAACTCAACAAATCTGTGTACTGGTAGGTTTTAACGTGTAGCGATAGATCATAATATTATTCTACTGCCCTGAAAATATGTTTCTTTAATATTAAAGTTGTAGCTGCCCTCCGCGTAAAGACGGGTACTGACAATGTTGGATTGATGTAGTAAGATCCACACAAACAAGAATGTTATCCAGATTTTAATATAAAACTATAGGCAGCCGTCAGTTAGCTCAGCATAAAGACAAGGAGCAGGGCTCTGTTCAGACGTAACAAAAGTAAAATAGCCACTATTTAATATCTCATATTCAAACCTCATTTAGACCTTACAAACAAAATTTAGTCCTATGTTGTTTAAAATATATAAAGCAATATTATTGTAATCAAAAAAATGTTCAGCTACTTCTTTAAATGTCGACCTTCTAACCGGGACATCTTTTTTCAAAAAGTCCTTTAGCGATCACTATCTCGCTTGCAGTTTATTTACCAGCATTGGAAGAGGCCAAAACCTGACGTGAACGCACACCCACCCGTTTGGAGGGTCGGTGATAATAGCGCGCGGGTTGACGAGATCAGAGTCTACGATGACCCGACGCTGAGACCCGTCCAACGAGGCCACCTCGATGTGATCCCTCACAGAGTCCGTCCAGAACATAGTCCGTCCCAAGTGGTCGATGGCGATTCCCTCCGGGCTGCCCAGATCTATAGAGCCGACCCATCGCGCACATCAGCGTCTTAGAAAAAACAGCCTCCTGAATGCCAACTGGCTCCAAGTGAAGGTAGAAAAGAGAAGAGTTACCCGATCGAATGACTGCGGTGGGCTCTCCCCCCTGCATGCTGGCCTTGCTGATGGAGGGAGATGTGATTTCAGTCCAGTAGACCATTTTCTCCACGCAGTCGTAGGCCACTCCGATGATTACCTTCTCCTGTGGAGGGGTCGGCAGGCGACAATCTTTGAAGTGTACTTTCCACAAACAAGTTCGGTCAGAGATAATAACACGCAGCAGATGTTTCTTTTTGTTTTTTAACTTTAACGTCTAGACAGAAATCTAAACCAACAGAGCTGCACGTTGAGCGCGAGCAGCTCGGCCGGGATTCACACCAGCTGCTATGGAAATGAACGCAAACAAGAATAGAAGAATGCAATTCCAAAGATGTGAGACTGATGTTCTAAGTTATTACGGTGAACGTCACCATGTGTCTCCAATAAAGTGCAGGCAGAGAATGCACGAAGCAGATGTAGGAACGGCAAAGCTCCAGCCTGCGTGTTGCTTTCACAAAGAGAGCAGCTAGTTTAACAGCCGGAGCTGATGTCGCAAACACAAATGAGAAATCCAAACACATTGAAGCTTTTTGTAATAGTATTCTCTGGTATAATCTAAATCGTCCCACTTACACATTCACTGAGAAATATTTCCGTACTCAGATCTTAATGCACAGTGTGATCTTCTAAGATCAGTATTTGTCTTTCACGAACAGACTTAAACCCAGTGAAACACTGTTTTTCTGTCAACTCACATTTTCATGAAGCGAAAAGCCAAATAAAATGTCTCAGGAAAATGAAGCGACTCTTACAGGGAGATGGAGGACGGCCTTGGCATTGTCCTCCTTCATATCGTGACCCTCCAGTGGGATGTGCTCTATCCTGCCGCTCTGGGCGAACAGCAGGTGTGTCCCTTCGGGCACAGGGTGCACGTCAGGGCGAGTGGTGGGTCCGACGGGTGGAGGCCCACCGCCATGCTCAATACCTAACGGAGACAAACCCTGAGAAATCAAACCCTGTGGAAGGGGAAGCTTAGCCCGGTTTTGTGGGACGCTGTACTCACACAGTGGCCGGCTGTCGGGCCCGGCGCGCGTCCCAGGGATCTCTTGCCCGTTTCGGTCCACGCACCAGCACTGTCCCGCGCTGCTGTGGCACTGCAGGGGCTCATAGGCACCGCTCTCGTCACATGTGGGGACGTACTGTCCGACGGCGGGGCGGGGGCCCCGCGGACCAAACGCACCCTGCAGACTGTCTCGGTGGGACTCGCATCGTGTTTGTGTTCTCTCTGATGGGAAAAGGAGCTTCGCAATGAGCACACTTAAACTGGGAAAACGCCACAAACGTAATACATAAGCTCATTTATATATATGTGTTTTTGTCGCCTCTTTGAAATTCAGCTACGCTACTACCTCGTCAGGCACGAGCTTATATTCCTGCTGTCCAGAAGAAGAAAACCGGTTCCAGCTGGCATCAATATACTCTGTCGGGGAACTAATTTCCAAGCACTCCTCGTGCCGAAATGGGAGAGATAAACAATGCTCCGTCTTTTACTATTACTGAGTCAGCGACTTGATTAGACTAAACAACTACCAAAAGTGTCTCGGCGGCCTTGACAGATTTCCCCAAATCATCCTGCATCAGCGGCAGCGGCTGAATGCATCAGCGGCAGCGGCTGAATGTTAGCAGACCGTATACAACAACTCCACTGCACTGACTGAGTAATGTTGCATTCGCTTGTCAAAAAGTGGAGGCATCCTGGAAGACTTACCTGGAGAGCAGGAGAAGCCGTCGCCATAGTAACCCGTCCCGCACTGGCAGGTAAACGATCCCGCGGTGTTATAACACACAGCGTGCTGATGACACCTGCCAGGCTGACACTCGTCGATGTCTTCAGGCGGAGCAGAAGAGTGTGAGGAGAGAGTAAGATCCAGAATAATCAGTCATTAACCGTATAAATATGTTCCGCATGTCGGATTCTGTCCTGTCCTTTTACGGTCAAGGCTCTACGTTGTGATCTGGGTCAGCCTGTGCACAAAAACATCGAGCAGAGGCACGAAAAGAATGGAAACTATGAACGATCGCTCCTGAGGACCAGCCAAAAAAACTACACGCCGACCGAGGACCGACATCTGCTTTTCATGTTTCACTGCTCAAACACAAACAAAGCAGATGTACTTTGTGAGCAATCCCCCCCCGGTCGTAAACAGATGGTTTCACAATTAGAGCTTGGCGGTACATGTGATGGATTTTAAATCTGGACTACTGGATTGGATTTTCCATTTAGCCCGTTGATAAATACTTCACACTTTTAACGTTAACATTGAATTAACATTTTCAAAACACGTCATGTGGATTTGGAGCGAAACACACCATGAAGCCATTGATTAACTTACACATGATTTATTATCCTATTTTAATTACCTGCAATATTGACTCACTATTGATATGTTTATCGTAACATTGGAATGATGTTCACAAATGGTCAAAAGTATAAATCCTCCTATAAGTCTCCTTGCAGTACCTTGGCAGATTCTTCCATCTCCTACGAACCCTGGCATGCAGGAGCAGATGTATGACGAGCCCCCGGTGTAGCTGCACTGAGCGCGCTCAGGAACGTCACAGTTGTGGGTGCCGTCCTCACAGGCGTCCACGGGGCGATTGAGCTCTGAGGAGAAGAAGAAATACTATTTTGCAGCATGTCACAAAATGACCAGACGTCACGTTAACTCTGTACAGTTTAACATTTATTAAATATTGCCACGATGGTTTTTGTCATTTTTGTCTTAACTTAATGTTGGGAATTGATCAATATTTCGCCGAGAGCTAGATGAGCTAGATGAGTAGATCAGTATCACTCTCATGATGAAGATAAGGCTTCTCCCAGCAGTCCTTTAGCTTAGCATGAGGTTATTCTATCGTTACCCTAAACAAGATACAACAAGTCATCTTCAGAGGTGCATGTGGGCAATTCTTTTGACTTAAAGCAAGAAAGCAAAAATGCTGTATTATTCCTATGAAATATGTTACAGCTGAGTACAGCTGATGACTAGAAAAGCGGGAAAAGAATATTGATGACGGATTAGTCTTGTACACTATGATGTGACTATTTCAAGCGTCCTGACGAGGTGTGATAAGCGTATTATTTCATCTAGAGCTGATGAACACACACGCAGAGAAGCCCTCTGTGGACCCACAGCCCGGGCTAATCACTTCCATCTCCGTTTTGATGAGATATGCAATCATTTCCTGCAGTGCACGACTAACACTTACCCATGCAGGTCTGGCCATCGTCGGCAAACTGATAACCGTCTTCACATTCACAGCGGAAGGTCCCGGGCTGGTTGTTGCAGATGGCGCGGGAGCCACAGATCTGAGGATTCTCTCTGCACTCGTCATTGTCTGATAAAAAGAAGAACCAATTAATCATGTGCCAATAACCGTGCAACCGTGTTTGAGTTTGAGTCTCCGACGTGCAGATTTGTCTCGTCGGTGTCCTTCATTATCAGATGGAGATCAAAGGAAAGAGCTTAATTAGGTTTCTTAATTACAAATTCAAGATAGGTTTCAAGATAGCATCTGTCTGAGATACTTCCTTCCTCTTCTCAATGTATCTGCCTCAGAGCTCTTCCTGTCGGGCCTTGAATACAAAAGACTCATGGTTGCATAGCGCATGGGCCGCAGTATATACGCTAACCTGTTCTGATACTCCCTCGGCTAAGTGGTTAGATTTCCCAGTTCCCCAGGAAGGAATTACTCTGTGCAGATTTAGAACCGGTTCTACTTGAAAGCAGAAAATACATTAATGGTGAGAATCTTTGATTCACCAAACAATGAAAAAACAAAGGTGCTTTTTCGGTGTTGCGTCATGGTTGATTCTTACCATAACATGTGCGGCCATCACCATTGAAGCCGATAGAACACTGGCAGGTGAACTCATTTCCCTCTCCAGGTCGGCACACAGCGTTGGTGTCACAGCCGTGTCTTCCAGTGAAACACGGGTTCTCCTCTGGCTGCCCGCCTGGGAATTAAGAGTTTATTTTAGGACATTCTCACCGTTTTAATTCAAACTAACGCAATACCGTGACAAAAGAAGACACATGTTTTTAGCAAAACTAGGGCTTGGCCAGGATGTTATATGTTGTACTACAGGACGGAAGTATGTGCAGACCAAAACAGGAAGACACAAATAATCCCAATGACCTCACCATTGATGTCTCCGATTTTGTTGCTCATGGCAAACCGGATGAGCTCATTATTTTCATTGTACAGGACAAAGACTTGGTCCACGCTGAGCATCTGAGCTGGTTTCACGTCTCTCAAAGACTCGCCATACTGGCAGCTCTGGAAGGTAATGGTCTGACGCCACTGGTACGTCCTGGTGTCAGTGGAGCCATCGGGCAATCCCACTTCGTAGTCCCGAGTGGAGGATGAAGTGATCACTGTAAGGTGTGATTGGCAGGTAAGAAGCAAGTAGACGGTTCATTAGTCTTCTGGATGGTTGAGTTGTGATTACAAAAGCAGAAAACAACAGTGGAAACCGACCACCGGCATTTTTATTCAAAAGTAAATGAGTCTCTTTTTTTGTATCTCACAGTTGTTGCTGTACTGGTAGACCTCGGAATAAGGGCCGATCTTCACGTTGGAGCCACGGGGCACCTCGGGGATCCGGCCTTCCAGGGAGGTGCTCACCACCAGGTGGTCGTGTTCATCGATGCCTTTGAACTCCTGCCTGATGGTCAGCTTCTCATTGCCTGGCAGGAAGGTCACTTCAGCCTGCCGTGTGAACTCCCCCCCTACAGAGGACAGAGAAGAGGGGGTTTACTTTGAGACCGTGGGCCCTGGATGAACTTTGGCTCCCCGCCTTCTGTCCAAGCTGAAGTGACCTGAGGGAAATTCAGCTGGACAGAGTGAGTAAGTCCACAGCTGCGTGGCGAACTGCTTGCAGCAGCGTCGACAGATTAAGACTTCCTTGATATGCACTTGTGTGTTTTTCTAACCAAGTGAAGCATGTGATGGACCCACAAACGGCTTTTCGACGTCACATTATTAGACATAATTGGTGCGTTTCCCTCACCAATAATACTGAAGCCATTCCTGAAGCCAGGCTGCTCCAAAGCAAACGCCCACCCGATCCCACCACCGAGGGCGGACAGCGGCAGCAGCGAGGGTCCGACGTTGTTAGAGATGTCACTGATGGCCACGTAGGAACGGCCGTCGTTTACCACGACGTATGAGTGGAGGTCGTTGCTGCTGAACTCCACTGGAGAGGCAGAGTCGCCCACATACACTTTTCCATACACCTTGCCGTTCATCCGCTGTGGCTTTCCTGCCAAAAGAAAAAGATAAACAGAGCTTAACACGCGTCAAATATTTCGGTAGTAATGTTGGTCTAATGGTAACAACAACAAAAAAACACAGGAAGTGAAACTGCTAATCTTGATGTTCCCATGACCCCCATGTTAAGACATTGGTATCTTCACAGTTCAGATTACAAAATAACAAAGATGGACTTGTTGAATAGTTGCAACATGAATCGGTGTAGGTTTTACATATAGCCAATACTGCAGGTGGGAATAAATGGACTATAATAATTTGTATTACATTTTAAAGTTGTCTTAAGTGTGTCACATAAATAGGACATTGGGCTGTGGAACATGTGAACACAGATAATAACAGCATCGTGATATAAATGTCATGATACTTTTTTTTTCTTGCTCATAGAATGTGAACGGCCGCCGGCACATATTCAACCAAACTAATATACCTCCGTTATTTTTGAAGCAGTAAAGACCAACTCTACAAATGCAATCAATTGAAAATAAAAGGGGCGTTACCCTCTGCAACACACTGTATCCCATTGCCGTAGAAGCCAGGTCGGCAGTTGCAGCAGTATCCGCTGGAGTGGTCCTTGCAGTCAGCAAACTGGGAGCACTTATTCCTACTGTTTGCGCATGTACCTAGATTGTATGAAAACACTGAAAACAGGAAGAGACACGGTAAGACTCCGGCAGGAACGGCTAATTAACTAAACAAGCCTCTGGATCCTTCTCCCGTAGACTCACCATCTACATTTATATCAGTGTCGTCCACCACCAAGACTTCTCGGCCGTTAGGCCGATGTGGCTCGTGCTGAATTGGCAGGACGTTGACCTGCGCCTCCTCGTAAGGAGGGTCCTGCACACTCTGTCCGTTGCTATACACAGTCCTTCTTGCATCAGTGTCCTCCTCATTCCCACCATTGGGCCCCTCTGTTGATGCCTCGGGGAGCAGGTCGGTGACCTCACCTGGAGCCACGGTGGTGAAATAGGGAGAAGTTCCAATCTCGTACACCCATAAACCCCGCAGGCCAGAGTTGGTCTCTCTATAAGGAGAAAATAGACTTATACAGGGAGTGTCCTTAAGGCATAATCCAAAATGCAACACAATGGCAGGAAATGGTTACTCCGTCTCCTACTCTTGGTTGACTCACTCTGCCAAAGCCCTGATGGATGCCTCGTCATCAGTGGTGGTGCGGTAGTATGGTCCCTGACTTGAAAACAGAAAACCCTGGACCAAACCCTGACTGAAGCCAGCGTGCATGACCTTAGCGCTGGCTTGTACGGGAGTGGATGAAAACTGCATGCCGTCCCTTGCGTACAGGACAACAGCGAACGATGCAGAGTCGAGGGACACGATGACCAGTTGGAAAGTGTTTCTCTGTGTGAACGAAGCAGTAGAGCGTAAGTAAATGAAAAGTTACAACAACAGATCGCTGGAATTGACCATGCGATGCTCACCTTTTGGTCAGCGTCATCTCCTCTTCTTGGAGGTTTGTGGGCGCCCACATTAACCCAGGTGACCACCACAGCGTTGGTGGGATCGACTTTGCCGTCCTCGGGGAAGGCCCCGTGGATGTACTGGGCCGCCCGACTTAGAACGTCAGGGCTGGAGTCTTGACGGAAGAAAACTTTCCCCACACCATCACTTGTGTCCAGGTCTCCTTGCAGAGCTGCAATCATGCCAAATTTGGGGGGCATATTGCCAAGATATGTGGACTCGCTTGTTGGCTCTGCTGTGGCAACGAAACCATTGGTGTTTATCTGGAATGAAAAGCTCAGGTTGGTAATGGGGATAACAGGGAATGAGACGACGGTGACACTGTACGGCCTTCTTCACGGTAACTAGTACAACAACACACATCAGAGGTGAACCCGGTCCAGTCTGACCCACTTTCATTTTTATTCTACACTCATTAGGCTAATGATCCACTTCAGCTGGAATGTCCCGCAAAAGCAATGCTGAACAACCGAGATGCCATTTAGCACAGATGTCCCACACTTAAGGTTCAACATGAACACATGCAGGGCTTGTAAATTTAAAAAAAAGCTCTGCACATGTCAAAAGCACACGCACACACACACACACACACACACACACACACACACACACAAACACGCTCTGCACATGGTGCTCCTCTGCAGAGCGACGAAACAGCGTTACACCGTTTCCTGTTCCTGCCCTTCACGAGCAGCCACGGAGAGATAGCACACTAATCTGCATTACAGAAACTTCCTGACAAAATGGAAGATAGAGCTGGGAAAGTGATCAGTAGGTCTGATCTCGCAGAGAGAGACCGAGATCTTTGAGGCCAGCGAATACCCACACGGGCTTTGTGGGATGGGAATCACACTCAAAAGGAGACGATAAAACCTTCTGATGATTAGCGAAGCAGTTTTTTTTTCTCTAACACCACCGTGTTAAAGTATTACTGTTCCCCAGGTTCAGCAAAATCTGACGAGAAATAATAATCGTTGTGCCAAATTGACCGCAGTAAAGAAACCCATCGGTGGTGTGTGAATTTTGGGATAACTTAATAAGTAGTTGGGAAACCCCTCGGACTGATTTTCTGTCAAGGCTCATGTGTTAAGCACAACTTGCCTCTACTCTTCTCTAATAGAACTGCTCATTGGGTGAGATTAGACCAGTAACGGTTCCATCAGCCAGAAATTAAAATTCCCTGATCAAAGATGAAGTTGTTGTCAGAAGAGAAATAACACTAATACTACTGGTTTTATCCAAAATACCAACAAAGCTTTTGACAAATGTTAAGTTTGTCCCCTTTCAAGGCGAGAAACCTTTGAATATTATTCCACTCTGAGAGCATTTTACCTAAATGCACCACAACCAAAAGACAGACGTAACACTTTCTGTGAAGAGGAGAAGCGATTGTGTGTCCAACACAGGGGTGCAGCTTTCAGCTAAATGTTGATGTTGTTTTTTGAAAGCTCCATTGACATAATGCTGGATTCCAATATGTTAAACATAGATGTTGCATCATAGTTCTAAACGATACTCACAGTTATGTGACATCGAGGTGACCCTGTGTCATTTAGGTCATTGTGTCAACGTTAAAATGATAATATCAGTGAAAGCAGCCTCTGATAAGTAAATCAATATTAACAAATACTCAAGAACATACTACGCACTAGATGTATTTTGTTATTTCCATGTATTATTTTAGGTTTTAAGTTAACTACTGAACATGTTTTTAAATAATTATCTTGGGTTTTTCTAGGGAATGCGCAATGGTGCAAGATCGTTGCTCACCCACCCTGGCAACTCACAACTCCAAATCCACACAACTCCTACGCGTTTGTGTTAAAAAGACAAAGCCGGACTGCAAAGTTTAGTTAGGACTTACGAAGATGCTGTTGAAAGTACCATCATAAAAAAACACTGGCTTGTCCAGTTCAAGTCGGTGCGTCTGGTCGTTCCCCGCATCCAGTAACTCGTCCCTTGCGCTTGGACCGAAGGGGAAAAACTCCCCGCGCGTAATGCTGTGCGCCAACGACACGAACCCGAGAAAACTCGCACAGGCGAGCCATAGTTGCTGCTGCCAACCCATTGTTCGTGTTTCAAGAGCAGTGGCGCGGTCCCGTGCTCTGTCCTAACCAGGTTATGGGAGAGTGACGCACGGGCTCCGCGGGAGAAAGTTCAGTCAAAGTTTGGCGAGAACTTGGGGCGGAGTTGGACGGTGCGCTGAGAGACCGCGGTCAACTCAGCAGACGCTCGGATTCGCGAGGTCAACTCAGCAGACGCTTGAATCTTAGTGCACGTGTATGCTGATATTTACGGTATTGAACAAGTAACGGGAATAAAAGATATTTAATCAAATATTCTGAGATTTCTTTAAAGAAAACGTGATATTTCTGCAAGCTAAAAAACACCATTTTGAGAAATGTATTTTTATTGCAGTTCAAACTTTGAGAAATGGTGGTTTTGAACTTGCAGAAATATGACTTTTTCTTTGGAGAAATCTCCAAATCTGTACAGTAAAGATATTTCATATTCAGCATGCTGGTAGTCAGAGATGTCCTTAACACGCATGCATTGGTCTTTGACTGGAACTGTTACTTTGGATTAATCTCGAAATCTGTAAAGTAAGAACATTTCATTTATTGTACAAGAGTAGTCAGAGCGGTCCTGTACACACATACTTCTACCATAGTCTGGAAATAGCCTTTATTCCGGTTACATGCTTAATACCGTAAATGTCAGCATATACGTGCACTAACATTCACGCGTCTGCTGAGTTGACCGCAGTCGCTGAGAGCTGCATGCCTCCCTTAAACCACCTACACTGGAGAGAGAAAGGAGAGGTAGCCTATGCCTTTTCTTTTCATGCTGTTACTACTCAAACAAATTCCTGAAGTGCTGTGGTAAGGTCTGTGGACTCTTGGTCAGTTTATTGACGCTTGTGGTGATAGTCGCTTGGCCTACTTTTACGACGCAATATTTACCAAAGTTGGTAGAGAACAGAAGTGGCCAATGACGTCACTTTCACATCACATCATTTGATTTGAGACCTGACCTGCAGCTCAGTGTTGCCAAAACCGCAGAGAGCAGCCGGTGTTTGGATGACCATATAAAACACAGGGGCCACTGTGTGGGAGGTCCAAGTGTCTCCAGTGGGACCAAACTGGGCTGAATTAGCAGATCTGGACACGGTCCAAGCGGCCAGCAAAGCACCGACATCAGAGCACGGGCCAGTTACCAGCCACGGAGCCGCATGGCTGGTTTGATTGAAACATTATGTAAAGGACAATATCACAGAGCACTGTACCACACACTAATCACTGGAGGCCTCTTGCTGCGGCTATCAGACTGGACTCCAGCTAGGATAATGAGGGGCCTGCTGGTAACATGGTTCTATCTCTGCCCTGCTACCGGAGGCTCAGCCATTCATCCAACACGTCGGACACGTCGGTCCACTCATCTGAACAACTGTTGGCCACATTGCCATCACATTTTAATATGAGTATTCATGGTTCCCATGATTCCTGATGACGTGCCGTGACATCTGACCTTTTGTTTGCCGCCATCATCAGCCAAGAAAAAGCTTTTGCCAACAATTTGGTCCATACCGATGTGCTTTGAAAATGGAATTAGATAACAAATGACCTCTGAGTGAAGGACTGTGTTCCTGACCAGATCCAATATGGACGACGGCAATCCCGCAGTGATAATTAATGTGACCCCCTGACCTTTTCCAATGCCCACCCTGTGTATCTGCCACTAGAGTAAGGAAAACCCTGATAACATTATGCGTAAGATTGCCAAAGTGCCCCTGTTAAGGTGTGGTGAGTAAAAAGCATATTATATATAATTTACATATATTTTTAATGAAAAAATCAAAATGAATCTTTTGCCGAGATATTACTTCCAGGCTGAAGACGTATGACTTGCAACAAAGGGTCTGAAGTAGACATGAATTAGTTCTACAGGATCACGAGGTGAATCGTGAACCAGAGAAGGAGAGCTTTGTGTTCACTTTTGTGCTGCAACTCTCTTGCACCACCCCCGGGTCAAAATATATAATCACCATATTGTTGCGAAACTTACTGGGTACATTTATGTTTTGCATCACCTTCAAGGCAAACCGTCCTCTTAGCCGTTTCTATGGGGCTTTAAATGGAGCATTACAGCCACAAAGGATGACATCAGAAATAATCTGAAGATATTTCTGTGCAAACCAGTTAAATTATAAAGGAGATGTTTAACTTACTAAGCAGAAATATCTATCTGGATGCTGTGGAAGGATTGCAAATATTAAGCTGAAAACCATATTTTGAAAAGAGACCATTCATGAGGAAATAAACATTGCAGATTTATATCTATTGATTTACTTTCCTTTTTAAATTGTCTTATCTGATTATGTTGCATGTCTCTCCCACTTTGAATCCCTTCCAGCCTTTAAATCTATTTACGGTTGAAAGGCGCCACCTTATGCTCATTTGTATGAAGTTTGCATCTGTAGTTCCGGAGTACATTCCCCAGAGAATTAGGTTGTCACAAACTAACACCAATGCATACATTCTACATGCAGTAGGAACATCAACGCCTGTCAAGGTGCATATGTATTTGTTTATTGTGGTATTCAACAAATTATTCCAAAAATATTTGTTTAAGGATGTTGAACAGCGAGGACCAATTTGTTTGAAACTGATTCAAAAAGTACTTCTGTGAACAAAAATAAATAAAGTACTCCAAATAGCAGTACATTTGCTCATATGAATATATAGGGCACTTGTTGGACACTGTTGCTGATGGGATATTTTCCTCGGTGTCAGTGATTTCAGGCTGTTTTCTCTGAGAAACAGCCACAATCAGCTTGATAAGAAGAGTGAACAGTTTTATTGACAGACAAAACCGAAGAAGCGGCCGATTCAAAGGATTAGGAAAATCATTAAGTAGCGTTTACTGAAACCTAAAAAACAGGGAAGTACATAACAATGTTATTCATTTATTGTCTCCCTATCACACATATGAAAAGATCCTTCTAAAGAATATTTAATCATGTGTATTCTAGAAAAGGGGAAGTGCTGTAGCTGAGTGCATCCTGCCTGATGTGGTGCCCGGATGGCAGTGTCCCTGTGGCAGGAAGATTGACGTTTCACGGCAGTCAAAGGGTGAGCTGGAGTGACCTCCGTGCTCGGCCTTCCTCGTGTTCACATGCCCCAGTCCTGTGAAACGAAACAACAACAAAAACCACATCCAACCAACCATAACAAGCGTCACTGAGGTTTGAGCGCTGATTAGACTTTTTCTTGGAAGATTGAGGTAGTCTTGGTTTTAAATAACGGGGAACTGCGGATATTCAACACGTTAAAAAATGTTTTTTTTGGTCATGAGTACTTGAGGAGCTTTTCAAGAAGTCCAATAAAATAACCCTGGTGTTTCCCAGGCAGAGAGGGTCCCATTTAAAATACTACTGATGAGATGGAGTAGGATCCAATACTTTTGGAGTTAGACTCCTATTTGGGAACAAATGGTCTTGATGTGTGTGGACTTCTGCTGCTATAACTTGCCCATTATTTGACACTTTTAAGTCCAACTGCCCAGACTACTACTAATCCTCACCTCAGTTTTGCTCCTTCTAAACTAACTTTGAGCCTCAGGACTCCAGCTTCATCACATTGTGACAATTCGATTAATTAATCAATAACGCTATTAATATTGTAATATAAAGCTATAGTACAACTTTTTATTGGGTTATTTCATTGAGTGAAGATACTACAAACACTTCTGTCTCAGTCTTTATTTAGTTTACAGTGAAGTGTGACAGTAGAACCAATGACATAAAAACTATAAACTATAATTAAAATTAGAATTAAATTCAGCAGGGCTTTTTATTTTGCTACATCTCCAGTTTTTAATATGGTATTTCCGTTTTTTCTCTCTTGTCTTTTCATCAACTTTGAGCTTGAAAAAAATATCACCAATAATTACCAATGATTAAGTTACCATTTCATATTTACGATCTTTCACGGCTATTCACATGGCACCAATCCACGCAAACAGCTCGTGAACACGTCGCACAGGTTGTGCATGAACTCGCAGTGTGGCACGATGATACACTGCGAGGTGACTTGATAAAGATGCAAGTGAATCTGAGGCGCTCTGTCGGGGTCAGGGCGGCGGTGGGAAGCACCATCACAGGGTTAAAGGTGCGTGCGTCAGCTGATGCGTAGCGTCACGGATTGAGGGGGGGGAGAAGGGGGAGGAAGGGGGTCTGGTCCTCCTCTCCTCGGGTCGGGGGGCCTCCGGGCTGCAGGCGGGCGGCCCTCAGCAGCTTCCTGCCCCGCCGCGGTGCCCGACAGAGCGGCTCGCCGTCATCGCTGATCATGCGCTTCGCTCTCCGGCTGTCCGCGGCTCCGCAGCAGGAAGTCGTCCCTCTTGCTGCTCTCTTCTCCTCCTTCCTCTTGACAGCCACCCTCGCGGCGGTAGCACTTCCATCTTTTTCTTAGCGCATTATTCTTCCTCTGTGAAGCCAGAGACCGGCCAGCGGCCACCTGCCTCTGACGCCGGTCGGGGAGCGCAGGTTCATGGAGGCCCCGGCGCAGCAGAAGGAGCCGTCGCCGACGGACCCCAAGTCCCTGCCTCTGCCGACCCTGAGTCCGGCCGTGCCCACCTACGTGACTTTGGGCCTGACGGTGGTTTACACCGTGTTCTACTCCCTCCTCTTCATCTTCGTCTACGCGCAGCTCTGGCTGGTCCTGCGCTACCGGCACAAGCGCTTCAGCTACCAGACGGCGTTCCTGTCGCTGTGCCTGCTGTGGTCGGCCCTGCGCGCCGTGCTCTTCTCCTTCTACTTCAAGAACTTCGTCACGGCCAACACCTTGGCCCCGTTCCCCTTCTGGCTGCTGTACTGCTTCCCCGTGTGCCTCCAGTTCTTCACGCTCAGCCTCATGAACCTGTACCTGGCGCAGGTGAGCGCGCGCGCGCGGAGGGGGGGAGGGGGGGGGGGGGGTTACCGGCTTGGAAGTCAATGTGCAGCTTATATAACGTTATGTGGGCAATTAGGATTTGTTTTTGCATAATCTTGATTTTCCAACAAGGCTTAAAGGGTTATTGCAGGAGGTCGTAGACGTTGCAGCATGTCTGGGGGCTGCTGCCCTCGTGGGAACTGGTGCCTGAAACCAAAATATGAAATGGGAACGTTCAAATGAAAAGCACTAAACTAGGAGTGTTTGGTTTAAATTAATGTTCGAACAATATTAATAATAGTTTAAGAGTAATAATGACTTCCTGCTATTGATTGTTTATATTTGAAAGAATAATCATTATATTATTCTTAATCTCTCTTCCATCTCTAACAAACATTTTATCTGATCATCACATCACGATAGATTTTCTGTTAATCAACTACATCATTTCAGCTCTAAATGTAAACATGTAAACATATTATATATTTAGGTGTGCATTGAATTATATAATGACCCACTTGGTATTCAGAGAAATGACCATGTATTTGCTTTATTAATAAATTAATAAAAAAGGTTAAAATAAAAACAATTCCAATTTTGGTGGCTTTTGAAAATGTTTATCTTGAAAAATCAATCGACTCAATGATATAATACGATAACATATATATCGCCACTAAATCATCATTAAGGCCCATTGTATGCTGCACTGAATACATCTGATGTGACCCTCTATTAATCACTAATACTCACATTATATGTTTATATAATGTCCATTACACGTCATTTAGCTAAATATCAATGCTGCTTCGCTCATTCAGATCGGCTTACAAGGTGCGACCCAGCGACTCATTCCTACTAAATTCAAAGATCAGAGCTTCTCTGCCCTCTACTTCAACCTTACTTGCGGCGTAATAATCTCCTTGTGACTGGGGTCACAGTTTGAGTTGAGAGTGAGACGGAAGCAAGCATCGGAGCACACGAGGCTCTGTTCATCCAACACACAACCCCCCCCGGTTCCTGTTTCAGAAGAGCAGCCCTTGTTTTTCATACCAGCGCGAATGCAGAAGTGAAATTGCATGTATACGCCCCAGTAGCGTGACACAGTAACTGATTTCTTTTCACAGGTTGTTTTCAAAGCAAAGTCGAAATATGCACCCGAGCTTTTGAGATACAGGTGAGATCAATGAACCAATGCCGTTTACCAATAAAAGAAAAGCATCCTGCCTAAAAGTAAACAACTCTCGATGGTCAACCATGTTTTTTGGTGGTCCTCAGGCTGCCGCTGTACCTGCTCTTCCTCTTCATTAGCCTGGTGTTCCTGGTGGTGAACCTGGTGTGTGCCCTGCTGGTGAGGATGTCCTCTGCAGAAGCCCGCGCCATCGTGCTGGTGAGGGTCGCCATCAACGACACGCTCTTCGTCCTGTGTGCCGTCTCGCTCTCCTTGTGCCTTTACAAAGTGGCTAAGATGTCACTGGCCAACATCTACCTGGAATCCAAGGTAGGAACAACAACCGTATGGGCCGGGGGGGGTAGAAATTAAACCTGATCAGCAGCCTTGTGTGACGATGCACCGCCTCCTTATCGTTTGTGCTTTGTACACAACTCTGTAGCGTTCTTGTGACGGACTGCTTGTGGTCGATGATGATTTCTCGTTCCATGTGCAGGGGACGTCCGTGTGCCAGGTGACGGCTGTAGGAGCCCTCGTCATCCTCCTGTACTCCTCCAGGGCCTGCTACAATCTGGTCGTCCTGGGACTCTCAAACAAGAGCATCAACTCCTTTGACTACGACTGGTACAACGTTTCCGACCAGGTGATGCTCAGAGGTCACGGCGCCTCCATCTTCCGGGGTAAAACGGGTGCTTCGCGCGTATCATACGACGTCGACGTAAATGAACGTGCCTTGTTTTGTTTTTTTTGGGCGTTTCAGGCGGATTTGCGGTCGACTCTGGGCGACGCCGGCTACGTCGTGTTTGGGGTGGTGTTGTTCGTGTGGGAGCTGCTCCCGACCTCGCTCATGGTTTTCTTCTTCAGAGTTCGGCAGCCAGACCTCGACAGGGTGAGCCAGCGGGCGCCATCGGCCATCGGCGTAGTTCGTCTCGGGAGATTCTGCGACATCTCACCTTTCTGCTGTGTTGTTTGTGTGCGGCGCGTCCTGCAGAGTGGCACTGGGCTCGCTGGTCACGGCTTTTCCTCCAGGGGCTATTTCTTCGACAACCCACGGCGATACGACAGCGACGACGACCTGGCGTGGAGCGTCATGCCTCAGAACATCCAAGCAAGGTAACAAAAAAACAACAAAAAACCCCACCCGTGACCCTAAATGCTGAGCAGGGAGTGGGAACCAGAAGTCTAAACGGCGGAGTTGAATCTTGACTTTTGACTCTGCAGTCTGGCCGCCGACAGTCCCGAGTGGGGGAGCGAGAGCAGCAGCAGCAGCATCGGCGTCTACATCGGAGGCGTTGACAGCTTCCCGGTCCCGTCTTCTCCTCCTCCTCCGGAGGAGGAGCGCAGCCATTACTGAGCGGAGTCCACAGCCCGGCTCGTTCTCTCATTTTTATATTTTGAACAGTCTCTCTTGGTGACGGAGGCGTGTACATTCAGTCTACTGTTTTAAATAGAGAAGAAAAACTAACTTTCCTGCCAGCACGTAAAGGTCCACTAATGAGATATTCATCCTGCACACTCCTTGTACAAAGTGATTTTTAACTGCTTTTAAAACTGTTTAGTGTAGAGTTTGTATTGAATATGGCTTAATATATTTCCTGACTTTTGTAATAGGAACAGTTACTATTTTATGTACTTTTGTACTTTTCATACACGTGTGTTTATATAGAGGAGATATTCATTTAATTCATATTAAAACAGTCCAGATGCTGTGAAGGTAGTCGTTTCTTGTAATATACAAATGCTCCATTGATTGACAGTAGTTGCTCTTCCATCCTTTCCTTAAAAATACATTATATATATATATATGTGTTTATTTTTTCATCCTTGTTTTCCCCACTAGTGTTTTGCACAACTTTGGGAGCACTGTACAATGCATTAGACTACATAGATCCATTCTAGATCTAACATATTAATCACTATTTCACATTACATAGTTACAATACAGTGCTTCCTGGATAGTAATAACAAAAAAAAATGAACACAAGTTCGATCTTTCACTGGCTGACAACAGTAGTAATTGACGATGGATTAAACTGTGGCTCAGAGTTTAATCGTATATAATTTTTAGGATTAGTAACAAAAAAAAAAAACTCTCAACATTATTTCACTACTGGTTTTCCAAAGATAAAACCCAGGAACTTACCCTGACATTTAATATTTGTGTTGTCCATTTACTTTTCACTGTGTAACGGTATATTTAGATATTGTATTGGAAAAGATCTGTCGGTTTTAAAATGTGCAGATCATGTTTTCTGAGAGCTGTTTTTTTAGGGTCACTAAGTGTGAATAAAGATAACCATAGAAAATCCATTTATAAAATAATTTACTGGTTGATGTTATAATTACATGAACTATACATAAATATTATAGTGTTGATTTGAATATTTGAATCCTATTTTGAGCAATAAAGACAACGCTACAGAGAATACTGAATCGGTTTAGTTGAATTTGCTAATGGCTGTACTTTCACTTCTCAGTTATTTCCATCATAATAACCCATAATAACCCTATTAATGCTGTGGGCCTGCAGAGGGCGGCATTAAACCGAATACAGTGAGAACCAGACGATTCAAACCAAGACCAAATCATTTCGGTCAGAAAAAAGACGTTTTTAATTCAGATCATTCTTCGTATTATTGCAACCTCAAGTACATTTAGCAATACAGTAGCTTACAACAGCTGATTCCATGTGAAAAGCATAACACATTTAGCATATGCAGAACACTGTACCTTTAGGAATTGACTGCAAAGAACAATATGCAAAAACTGTAGCTTCTCCGGGAGTTAAATTCCTGTTGTTTTTTTGAAAATGTCAACACAAAGGCTCTCCAGCAACGAGCCTTTCATTTCACCCAAGAGGTGAAAGGGGAAAAATAACAAGAAACACAATCCCTTTCGGTACAATGTCATGACATTCAAGGTCCTCCGGGCTTCTCCGGTTTTCTGAAAACTAACAGAGATCCCTGTTCATGTTTGTTTCGGGTCCATATGAATGGATCTTCCAGCGACTCGCACGAAAAACGTCTGCTGCTTCGCCATGTAAAACGCACACACATGCTCTCTGTAGGCCACTTTCTCAGGACTGAGCACTTAAAAAGGCCGTTTGGAGGGGGACTCGGGCCGCGCACTAGCTGGGATCCGACGCTTTGTCAAGCTCAACCTTTTCTCCTTTTTCTCCTGCACACAGAGAAAGCAAACAGGAGCGTTTGAAAAAACGCAGCGCGGCGTAAACAATGCAACAAAACATTTGCGTAGCTCGCACATCAGAACCTACCCGTTAAGTATTTCTCTTTAGCTCTGGCTCGCTCGTCCGCGTCGAAATACCACACGGTGATGGCATACCTGGGGACACAATCGGAGCACTGAGTCACGGTTAAAACTGAGCGGATCACATTGGGCAAGTGCAGCCGGCGGATCGGGACGCTGACCTGGTGGCGAAGGCGGGCTGAACCTCGTGAGGGTTCCGCCTGTCGGACCAGAACAGCAGCAGGCGGTCGAATTTGGGCTCTATGTCGGCAAACTGCGCCTTTCCTTCTGGGAAGATTCGAAGAAGGCCACCGTGTTCCTGGAAGGGCAGAACAAGAAAGGAACAAAGTCTTATGTACACAACCAGGGGACAGCAGGACTGAGGAGAGACTGCAGGAAGGGATGGAGACAGCAGCAAGGGAAGGACAGACTGTAGGACGCAGACAATGAGAGAAGTTTGGGCTCTTTATATTTTTGGTCCTGTTCATCCTAAAACTGCATATATTACTTGAATAGAAGATCCACTCGGAGGCTTTTTAAAGTACGTTAAGGAAAGCTGTTGTCCAACACCAAAGGCTAGAAGAGGAAAGCTCAGGCTCGGAAGCAGAAGAGGAGGGGCGGCTTTCCTGTGGAGGGATAGGAAGAATAACCCACAGGAAAACTGCTGCGGCTGGATAAAGGACCTGGAGAGTGAAAAAGCAGATTGCTGCGAGCGCGCCGCTTAATCTCTCACACGGCTGACATGATAGGCCCCGCTCTTCACACGCAAACCAGCGGGGCGAAGAGGGTTCACGCCCTTCATCGGCAGAGCAGCGCTATGCTCATTTGTACGACTTTCAATGAGGAGGGAATGCCGGCGGTGTGACAAAAATAAATAAAGCACAATGGGGTCATAGAAGGTAGGAGAAATGTTTTCTTTCCCTTAAAAACACGTAAGTGGCAAAGCGCCACTGATTTGAACCATTGTTCAACTGCACGATACACCTCCAAAGGGTGGCAACACTCCCTGTGGCCTGTAAGCGAGCGTGAACACAGGATGACCCGGGCAGGACGGCAGCCTCTCACCTACATCGAGCCCAGGAGTCATTTTGAGCTCATGTGGGGCCTTTTAAGGAGGAACTGCTTTGGACATCACAGCAGGTTTTACTTTTGGGAAAATACTATTTAATTATTTGTATATCTAAGAGATATCCAAATAATAGTTTAGCCCTCAAGATTTATACAAAAGCAAACATTTTTTTATTAATGATTAGCATTTAAAATGACCCATGGCTGGGTGATGTGGAGAAGGAAGGCCGCTGGGTGGAGTGGAACCCGGGACCTTCTTGCGGTGAGCTAACCACCACACATCGTGCCGCCCTGCCACCGTCACACATCAGTAACAGGGGTTTAAACCCTGAGTGAGTGGAGGCGAATAATGGAACAGCTAGAAGAGTCAGTGACATCACTTAATGTAATGCCGCTTTTCAAAGCAGGAACGGACAACACTTACGATATATCTATCTGCATATACGATGATATGTATGCTTAAATCAGTCATTATAACATGGACATATTGTGGTACCGCTAAATGTACGTATACATTCTGTACAGGGTCCAAATGACCTGCACAGGGAACGCATGTTACTTAGTTAGTTTTTACTTTCATTTTATTGAAAGCAGATAAACTACAGGTGAGATTATGGTACGAAGAAGAATCAGGAAGCACAATGAGCAACAAAAAAACAAAAGACACAAAGAGCAGCCACAGCTGACGGGTGCAGCGCTGCAGGCGGGAGGCCGTGCCTCCAACCTCCAAGCGAGGTCTCCAACTCCCGTTCCTACGTCCTTGTGTTGTGTTGAGAGATACTCGCAGATTGTGTAGTAAGACATCAGAAAAAAAACAACTACTAGCAAACACTACCGACTGAGAAACAGTTTGTTTGGCTGCAGTGTCAAAAGATGGAATCAGTAGAAAGAGAAGAGCCGCTCAATGGGTGTTTGCTGTGATATTATGCAAAATACAGAATAGATGCTTTTCGATCTAGACCAACATATACAAGTTATTCATTCAGAATTACATCAGTGTTGGTAAACTGGTGGCGTTACATCGGTCAAGGGTTACTCAGACTTTTACAGCCTGACAAGCGTCGACCAAATCCATCTCTTGGATCCCGACTAAACTTTGCTGGCTGCATAGTTTACAATGACACTAATGAGATAAACGTACGTGCAGGCAGTACCAGAACGACCTCTGACAGTCCAAGTGTCTCCAGGACGACAGCTGGCTACAATGACACACACTCACAAAAAGGGGAAAAACACTTTTTTTAATTGAATAGATTCTAGACAAACCTGCCACCCCCATGCCTACTATGCCACACAAAAGGAAGTGACGCGCTCTACCCTCAGATACCCGTATGACTAAGCTGGAAGCCGCCACTGAAACTTTGACGTTGGTGTAACGATGGCAAATTGTGACCTCAGACAGCGTGATCCATGTCGAGTGTGGAGGCGGCGTGGCTCTGTTGAATGCTGTAAACCTCAACCGGTGAAGCAGGTGTCAGTATGCGCCAGCTCTGATACACCGGTGATGTGTCCTTAACTCACATACTGCATGCTGGGAAATACTTCAACCCCCTGCAACCCTGAGCACTTTGGATTTATGGGTTTATATTTATAAACCTCGCTGCAGCAAAAAGCTACACAAAAAGAAGTTAGTTAACTAATGGCCAAGACCGCTCTGCGCGTTAAATGAACGACAATAATAAAAAAATGTGCTGAAAAAGAGTGCTGATCAAGAGTTTTGTTCAAGCAATTTAAGGTTGCGATTCTTGTCCCACATACGTCAGGCTTCATTCAGTGATTGAAACTGAACAGTACATTGGAACACTCCGAGCGAGTCAGTAAACAGGCACGTGCCCACCCGCTAAGCAGACAGTAGCACTGCAGTTTTTTTTTTTACATCCGAATATTCATTTTCACATTCGAATATAGAATATTGGTTGACAGCCCTATTGTGAGCGGCCTCCTCCCACCTTAGTCGCTCCTTTCTGCTACGACAAAGCGCGTTGTTCCTTCCTGGTGATGCATCCTGTACATCGGCCTCGTATTCAGGGGGCGAGTTAACGCGTCGTCCTGGCAGTAGGACCTGGATCTCGGTACAGGCGACTCTGCTGCACACTGACTGTGCCACTATGTGTCCGCCGCGCACACACAACTTGTGTCGCTGAGTGAAGACAAAGTTAAGCTCCCAAATTGTACTGAATACTGAAAACGCTAACTAACTAAATCAGATCACAGCACGCGGTACGGAGTCTCTCCCCGCCACGTTCCTGCTGATAACGGCGCAAACTGATAGCGCTACTGTTTTATAGAGCTGCGTCACGGCCTGCTGGAGGTCTACTCAATAAAACAATAGTGGGCGAAGGTGAATTAGAACACCATCACGATGGGTTGAAATGTAATCTTTTAAACGTAGTTTCTGCTGGGAAATTGCTCGAGGTGTTCTTTTTACATTTCCGAATGTTCCGAATTATTAAACTTCCTAACAGTAGCCAACTAGGGCGCCGACTTTTCAGATGTAGCGCAAACACTGATAAGAAAGTTTCCTTTGCCAAACACAACCAACACCGATGTGCACACCAGAATGGTTTGAAACGCTTATCTAAACCATGTGATTACTGGTGTAATAAACCACCACGGCAACACGTCGGCCTCTTTCTTCCTTCTGCGTGTTGACTTTCCTGCAGGAGGAACCGTGGAAAGTAGCACGGGGGCGGCTCTTCTCCCTGATTGGGTGTGGCTGGATTAGCAGGATCTCTGCATTTTAATGGGATTATAAACAGGGAGAGTGGCCGAGCTGCACGTACCGACACGTAACCCCCGACTACTGACTCTCCTCGGGTGTCGAGTGCGGCGCAAAGCAGGACGGAGGGTCATGACCTCACCATGGAGACAAGAACTGCGCTGACTTGTCATGTGCCTGTGACAGGAAGTCCGACTGGAGCGCGCGCACCAGACACACGGCCTTTCTGCTAATCATTTGGCATCAAAACTGAATCAATGTGTGAAACAAAAAGGCAAATAAGGAACAAGAGAATAAATGACGTAATAGTCTAGTTATTAATGGAAATGGAACATTGGAATGATAATCATCGAGTACTCATTCACAGTATGTCCTCCATCCATCACTCACATACCTTGGCAGTCCAATCTTTATTAAGGTAATATATGCATGTGACACATCGCCCGTCGCCGTTGGGGTTATCCACATGGCGCACGTATCCTGTACCCTTTCCGGGGTAACACGCCACCATTGCCTGAAGACGGGACGGGAAGATGAAAAAAGCGTGATTAGTAAAAGCAGACACAGAGAGCGTAAACATATGCATTCAATGTCTGGAGCCCAGGTGCAATCAAACAAGTGAACGGAGGTGCTGCATGAATATGGACCAGCGCATTGAGCCCGGCGCCGCGGCCGCCTTCGCCTCACCTGCACCGGGGCTCGTACATAGAGGCCAATCACAACGCAGCTGCCTGATTGTAAACTTTAAACTGGCGAGGAAATAACCCTAACCCTAACCCACATACACATACTGTGACAACTCTTGACATTACGGTAGTTTTGAGTATGTAGTATTTCAAATATCTGACTGCGGGCGCTAGAAATTGCCGCCAACACTTTCTTGGACAAAACGCAACTGCGTGCTTTGGGACTTGAAAGGGGAGCCGAGGTGGGTGGGGAACGTGCACAAACCCAGAGGGAAGAGTTCGCCCTCATGCACCGTGTCTAAGCAGTGATATGACAAACAAAAGGAGAGTTCTTCCACGCACTTGGTTACACAAACTATGGCAACGTTATTATAAACACTGGCAGCAGACTGAATGCATCACTCACTCGCTCTCGTACCAGGAGAAATGATGCCTTAATAAGCTTTGCCTTTCAAATCAAAATGATATATTTGGTTAGATATATTCTATTTCTAAAAACTTGGATCTAGAAAAGTTCAACTGAATCCATGAATTAAGAGAATGGAAGTCAGTTGGTCCAAAAAGGCGTTTACATTTTTAGTACTTTATCTCAAAATCTGTGTGTGCATCTCGTGACAAGCTCAGCCGGTTGAAAAAAAGCTACTGACATCACACATACGTCGGGCCCTTGTTTCCCTGCGCATTTGGTACACATCATGCTCACGTATACTGAGTGACTCAGGTTACCACGGCAATGCACGGATCAGGGCCTTCAAAGCAAAGAAAGCAACAAACTCCAGCATGAAGATGAGGGGGGGGGGGCAAACTGACAAAGGGCTTCCTGTCGGTAAGATGCAATACAGTGAACGTTTGAGAGAGAGAGAGAGGATAAGGACACAGACAGGCAGAGAGAGCAGAGGGGTGGGGCTGGACCAGAAGAGAGGAGTGAACTGCAGTAAACTTTGACTCCTGGCCCCCCTCAAGAGGCAGCAGTATTTTAATGGTTGGGCTACGTGCAGCGCGTGAGGAAGGTTGGCTGATCCTCTGCTATGTCGCCCCTCCCACCCTCCACTGCGTGCTGCAAGGCCGGAGATGGGTAAATAGCCTCGGCTAGGAAATGTGTGGAGTCTAAAGTGTGAGAGTGGTGTGTGTGTGTGTTTACGCCTGCGTGCGTTGGCTGGCTGAAGGTGTGAAAGCCTTGACACTAGTTTCGTCTTTCTCTTCCTGAGACCGGACAGCTGTTAAAGTCTACGAGAGATCCACTTAAAGTGGGGGGAACTCGCCGCCGCACGCTCAACTGGGCACTGTGACACTGTAAATACACAGCAAAAGCAAGTCGACGGTTCGGCACGTCTCAAAACAGAATATCACAGCACAGCAGTGCCCACCAATGCACGGAAAACACATGGGACTGGAATGCAGGTCAGCCAGTCTCTGCAAACGCCGACCGTGCACCAAGTGCCATTTAACCGCAGCTCAACTTTCATGTGATCTGGTCATGAGGACGCAGCAATCTGTGGTAGAGCACGAGTGACAAATCGTGACCAAATCTTTGGTCAGAGAACCGCATGGAGACCTTGGTGACCCCCCCCTGTCCCCACCATATATGTTACACGCAGCAGCTGTAGACAGAATCAGAGTGCAGCACTTGTACCAGCAAATGCGGAGCAAAGAAATCTGAGAAACTCATTACATCTCCATCCAAACGTGGCGGCTTCCTTCCTCACCATCTTCACCTCTGACCCGCGTCCCCCTCACTTCCCTCTCGGTCACTTCAGCATTCCTGTGTGGCTCTCGTTGGGACCTCAACCGTGGCTTCTAGGTTGTTTGTTTACGTTTCACAGGCTCAGCTTCAGAGCCAAACAATATTAATTCACAGAATTACTTTTTGTATCTTTTCTTCAAGGCAACAACGACATTGGATGCAACAATGACATTCATTGCAGTGACTTATGTACCGCTGTAATATTCTTGACTATAGAACAATTTAAAAAAAACTTTAGATATTAAGGGATTGCGTCAAATGTCTTAAGTGGAGAAAGCTCAAATAAATCAAGCATAGCGTGCTGAGCAAAGGCCTCGGTGGACCTCGTGTTGACCCGATCCCCTGGAGGAAGAATCACTGGGACGCTATGAGAGCATCTCCCGTTGAAAAAAGGAAAAGCTACGAGGGGTCTGGTCACCTCACGGAAGATATGCTTGACTAAAACCCAGAGTACAAGCAGATGGGACGGAGACCTTGTAGCGCCAGGGATTGTGGGAAATGTGGCGGTTTGGTCCGCTGTTTCATCAGGAGCTGCCTCAAGAGAAAAGCCCCTTTTAAAAGTAACAACCTAGTTTATTCTGTTGGTCTCTGCTGTAAGCTGTAGACGACCCTTGACGTGTCGCGGTGGAAACACAAGCAGGGTTTTTGGTATCATTGCGCAAATACGCCGATTGCGTAAAGTCTTCGGCCTCGTGGATCCCGGCACGCTCCTCCGGTGTTTCTCGTTCAAACAAAAGATAAAAACGCAGCAGGTGAACTCCGTGAGCTGCTTAAAGCTTCAGGTCAGACAGTCCTACCAGGAAAGACCAACAACGAGCAATAAAATATCTTCATAACATGTCCTGCCAACGGTCTGCCGGTTTCGTGTTAATACACAAAAAAGACAAAAAGACAAGAGACACAGTATCTACAGCCCCGCGTGTTTGTGCTCTACAAGCTCGGCGTAATTGTGTGCGAGAGCCATCGCGCTAACCGGGTAATTGGATCAGTCACCGATACTTTCTCGTTGCCAGAGGTGAGAGACGGGGCCGAGTCACCAAATAAATATGGAGATAAAAATCCTTCAGTCGCAGTTCTTAAAATCGCTTCGTCTCTATAACAGCCACCAGCTCATGATGAGGTTCCTCTCATTCTGCAGCACGGAGTCACACAACAGACTGCAATTACATATTTTAAACAAAACAATCAAAAAGTTTGAAATACTTTCTTAATCCTTCACCTCTACTGCTGCGAATGGTTGAAACCGAAGACTTGGATCCCGGCCACATGCTGCTCAGACAGTCTCGGCATAGTAAACACAGATAAACACGTGCTCGCCCGGGGGAGGGCCGCGTCCGAGTCGCTGCAATTTGGACACGCGGCACATTCAGTATTAATAAACTTTGAATGAACGGCATTGGGGGCGGGGCTTCACCGCTCTGTAGCTCGAGCACGTCGGCGCCAACGGCCGTTGGGCTAAACGCCACAGCTTACGTTTCGCACCCACACGCGGCCTCGCCGCCCAACTACACTGACTCAGACCGACAGACGCAGCCACGTACTCAACACACCACTATTGATTTTTGTGTACAACTCCAAGGCATCGTTGTTGAAGTCAGTGCACCAGATGTAAGCGGCTGCTGCGATAGCTCATTGCTAATGACGCTGTGAACATGCCAGGGGGCCGGATGGGCTGTGGTTTTTGGGGGGCCACACCGGGAGACGTTTCAGCTCAACCCCTCCGGCAGCAGTGGTTGGCCTGTTGGCCCCGAGGAACGTCACCGTCTCAACTCCACCTACCGAGGTATGTGAGGTGTGGAGCTTATCCGTGCCTTCAGCTTCGACGCCATCGTGGCTTTAAAAGTGACTCGTGGGTTCTAGCGTTCTCAGGACCTGATCAGGCGCCCGCTCGTTTTACATATAGGAAACATGCAGTGCGTCACATCCAACCAATGGTCTTCATTTACATTAATATCAGTTGAATATAATGGAATACTCGTCCTCTCGTCCACAGACTATTGTTGTTTTCGTCCCGCTGTTCTCGTCACGTACTGGTCGTTGTCCCACAGTAAACAAAGGGGCCTTAAGAAAGGACTGGTGGAAGGTTGGCTCGTACTCGGGCGATGAGTGGGCCCGTTCTCCGACTGACTCATTGGTAATTACATGCATTGTTTACTGGGTGATGGTTAAACAATAGGCAGGAAGGAGATGGCATGCAGGTACTGCACGAGCCTCGAGCATTCACTCAGAGGACCACCAACACCACATGACTTCCTGCAGTAGACTTAATCTCTAAGGCTTTGAGATCTAGGTCAACGGTCAACTTCCTTCTGAAAGCAGGCACGTCCATGATGAATTAGAACTTTATCTCACCAAGATGCTCGAAAGAGCTGTTATTTAAAAAAACAACTGTTAACAGGTAAAAGATAATTATGACCTGTTTTAACACTAGCTCTAAGCACAAAGACAATACAATCAATAAATTAATCACTAGAATACTCAATCAATGGCTGCTGCACTCTTCTATGTGAACTCTATACTGACCTATGAGACGGCGTGCTTGTCAGTTATGTTTCATGTTCAACCACATAACTGCATACGTCTGGCTTTATAGGCAAGCCACGCGAATGTTAACAATGCAGCCGTGGCTTAACGAGGCATTTTAACACCACCATTGAATGGGGGACGGGGACAGCGAGTGAGCGAGACGGGGACAGCGAGTGAGCGAGACGGTCGTGTTGCAGCAACAAACCTTTTAATGTTCCCACATTGTGCGGCGATGGCATCAGCACGCATTCAGCGCGCTGCATCTGCAGAGAAACAATCGCGTCCTGCTGCCTGCGGCTTCCCGCATTGTTCTCAAGTGAAGAAGGGGGAAACAGGAACAATGACGTTAAATAATTATTTGGGCGAAATCTTTTCCCTCTATCTTTCCCAATGCGAACTGTGCTTACATTGTCTCGCATCCCTTTGAGCCATTGATACTGGCGGACTTCCATTTGTGCAAGTCATGCTGAGGTTTCCTGGTCACAGTCCAGGCTCGTGTTTGCCGAAAAAAGAAAACTAGGGCAGTAGGTGTTTTGACTCGGTGGACAGCTGCACGACTAAACCGCCCACTGAAGTAATTCGCTTTCTGGAAAATGTTCAACGTCTACTCTAACACGCACCAGCCAGAGAGGGGGAGGACGGAGGGACCAGGGGGGGGGGGCGGCGGACAGTGGGGGGGGGGGGGTGTAACCTTAAATGGACAGGAGAAACGGCCTAAAAATAACAGCTTTTGACCAACAAAACTCACTGTGGTGTTCACAAGATTCCTTGTTCCATCGCTGAACTTTGAACTTCACTGACTGGGCAAGGGGCTCCACAAACGCCCACAAGCTACAGGCTGGGAAAGGTGACAGAATGACCAAATTGCGCGCGGAGATGCTGGGACACACACCACTCTCGACACTGTTCTGCTTAAAACAGAGGAGGAAGTGGGGCGAGGAGGAAGCGGAGGGGGGGGTGAGGGCTCATCCCCCTCCCGAGTGAGTCTGGTGTCACTAAGTCAAGGTGACCAGATCTAGTTGAAAGGAGTCACACGATGTCGCAGACAATCCAACGTCCGAGCGGAGACCAGACGGGTGTTGCTTTGGTCTGACCGATGCAGAGAAAGAAGACGGCAGACGAGCAAGACAACTTTCAAATGAACACGTTTGAAGGGTTGATTCGGGAATAAAATGTCAGGGGGAAAAAAAAGACGTTTATCTTGTGTGAAATTTGCAGAGAATATCTTCGGCGGGACAAGCGATAAAAGGAGCTAACGCCCGACGTTTAAGGCACTTGTGATAAGCTTTAGTCACAACCTTCAGACAACATAACCTTTGGCCGTAGCAGCGCGGCCTCCATGGACATTATAACCTTTGTGGTCATTTCTGAGGCTGTTTCGGGTGTTGATGTCTATCTATTGACCCTCGCTTTATATTTTAATCAAGGGGGGGGGCTGTCTTCATTCTATGAACTCTGAGCGTTGTGCCATTAAGACGGAGTTTAATTCAGGACGGAATAAAGAAAGTGGCTGTATATTACAACAGTAATAAACCCTGACGTGGGATTCTTTCTGAACCCATTTCAGAGATGAGCCACACTTTGACCTGCAGGTCGAGGACTCACCCGCCTCTAACTGGCAGACAGGACCAGGACATTTAAAGCAACGAATGGACACGTCCACACCGGCTCCTGCTGGCTGGTCGGACCCAGGCAGATGCCTGCAAAAGCGTTCTCACTCGGTCCCGTGGAGCCGGAGCCCCGCTGCTCTGAGTGACAGGTGACCGCCGGGGCTGCGGCTCCCACGCGGGAACGGCAGCCCGCGTCCACGCGTCTTACCACCTTCCCCCATACTTACTTTTGTCCTTCCGTTTATCTTGTAGTTCCCCAGTTTCCCGTTGCAGTGTCTGATCAGGTCGTCCATGCGGCTCATTAGAACGCGGATCTTCTCGCAGCCGGCCTCCCGCCCCTCGATCCACGTGATCTTGTCTCCTCGTATGTCCTTGGTGGAGTCGCTTTTTTGACTGACCAACTGCCCGTCCGTGAACTTGCCCGTCTTCTGCAGCGCTTGGACGTTGTCCAAGACGCCCGATCCGTACTCGGCTCCTAGAAAGTTGTCCACCACGCAGATGCCGTGCTTGTTCATGCACGGGACGATGTACTCCACGAGCTTCCGCGGGGACGAGCTGGTCTGCCCGTTGGGCGCGGGGGTGTTCATGGACCGCTCCTCCCTCGGTCCGTCTTCATCCCCCGAGACCTCGGTGCTCGCGGTCTGCGGTACGGGTGCGCTGTCCGTCTCCCGGGGACCGGTCTCTTCCCGGTGTTTCTCCGGCGCCTGGTCGTCCCCCGGCGGCGGAGGCTGCTCGGGCTTCTGTTTGAGTAGCTGCGCCTTGTCCGTCTCCTTACAGGTGAGCTTGTGTTTCCTCCAGTGCTGCTTCTGGTGCTCCTTGCTGCAGTAGAAGGAGCTGCGGCACCGACCGCACTTGAGGAGGTCGTCCATTTTCCCACAAAGTTCACAGTACTGCTGGTCTCGCTCCAAGTCGGTCTGCTCCATTTTTCCTTCTTTTTTTGTTGCGGCTTCGAACGCGGTGCACTGCGCCTTTAATTCCGATGCTTCACGCGCGCCCTGCTAACCGACAACTTTGGAAACGATCCTCTGCCGCGCCACACCGAGCGAGACGCGAAAGTAAGACTCAAAACCCCGCCATTTTAACGTAGTCGCCGCCTCTCCATGCCTTGTATCAGTGAAACAATGCACCAACGTGCGCCCCGGACCGAGCATTTCGGGCTTGGTCGAGGACTTCTGCGGGCTAGCTGTCCGTCCAGGAGTAGTGCATGGCGCCCGTTGGTGTGTGCTCGGCCTGCCTGTGGTGTAGTCGGCTGTGACGTCGCGACACACGAGCACCGCCCCTTCTTGCGTGGCATTTGCGGCCTGTCGGACAAATAGCGGTTTCATAATGCGGCGTGAAATATGTTGGAAATACGTGGAAGTTGTTTATTCAAGCGAATGGGGAACATTAGTTGCCTCAATAAATACTACTTGCCGTTGCAATGCAATGCTTCCAGCTATTTATACTAATCTATAGTCATTATACATAATATCACAAAATGTAATCAGGAAATAGAATATCCGACAAGATAAGTACTGTGTCCATCCGCAGCTTACACAGTAAAAAAAATTAAGAACGTGGCAAAATAAGGACGCACTTGTATTTACATATTATTCATAGATATGTGCAGGAAAATATTGTGGATACAGAAAGTGTGTTTGCAATGCAGCTGACCAGTGTTGTAGGCATTTTCATTTTCATCCTGCAGTGGCACAAAATAGTTCGCAGCAGTTTGATTTCTAAAATAAAGCTTAACAATAACAACTGCAATAACCATACATAATATCACGTTTAATTATCCTCTATGCAGATTATAAAACACCAACGTATAATTAATAGAGCAATTGGGAAACAACAGTAGGTTGAAAGCTTGAGTTTCAAAGCTTGAAGGGAGCACTTGAAGGCATCGTGATTGACCGACAGTGTTTTGCCCTCATTCCTGCCCTGCATGTGTGAAATTCCTTTCACACAACAAAAGAATATTTTGCATAAAGATGTTGCTGGTGTTTTGATTGACAAATGAGTATGCGGACTGCTGTGAAGCTTATGACTACGTTTTATATGGACTTCAAAGACCATCGGAATGCATATTATAACAGATTTGATTTAGATGTTTTTTATTTATGAAGAACCAACATGTTCATGTTCATCTGAATCCACCGTCATATACACCGATGGGGTCGATCCCTCAACAAATGATAGAACGCAGAGATTGAGTGACAGGGTGTGCTGCGCAGAGGCAAGGCGCGAGCTCAAGTTGGCACCCGTCATATGGCACGTACACAGTCTGCAGGAGTCCCTGGAGGAGGGGTTACAGTAGAGAAGCGAGTAATCTGATAAAGAAAGGTTGATGCAACATACTTAAATAGCAACAAATGACACGGGCAAATATAGTGGGACAGTCTAGAGATGTCTAGTGGTTCAATCTCTTTTTACTTTCAACAGAAAGTATTGAAGCAGAAGGTTTGGTGGTATGGGGGGAGTGGGGGTGTATGTGTAACTTCCTACTAAATATATTGTATATACAAGTATGGAAATCATTGCAAAAATATAGTATCTGCACCAATCAATTATATATTGAATGCTCCATAAACAATATTAACTAGTGGGAACGTATAATTGGTTATATTCAATGCCAAACAATAATAACAGTTAACAATGCATTAAGTTTCACTTATTTGTAACTGTTTTGAATTATTTTAAAATAAAAATCCTTAAATATGGCCTGAGTAGTTTGAAAATATGCCGTAATAAAACAAATGCATAAATCTGATGTTACTACATTTCCCATAATGCACTTCCCATTTCCGGCTACGTATGTAAACAGCGCAGAAGCCCCGCGAATAATGACGCCTGTGTGGTTGCCTGTTATTAAGTAAACGATCGAGTAAAGTAAACGCGATTTTTTGCCCCCCATTGTTGGATATTTAGACTTTATTCAGTGACGCTGACTTTCAAGTCTGAACGCAGCTGTTTTTCTCTGGTGAACTTTATAATTCCTGACGCATTTAAAGTGCCGGTGGACGTTACTGTCGGTCGACAGCACGGACTTGTGCCGCTAAAACAGTTCCGATAAATAACTTGCCACCTCGAGCGAGCTTATAGCTCTTACATTCATTTAAAGAAGACATTTCAACACCGAAGACATGAATAGGCGAGAAGGTAAGTCCAGTTATGCGAATCAACGACGAGTAGCAACGTTTTCAGGTAAAGTAACTGTCGTGTAGTTTCAGTCCGCGTTAGCTGACATTCACATGCAGCGTGCTGTTCTACAGCAACGACTGATTAACGTTAGTTTATTGCTCCACAGCTCTGCTCGCCACCTTTCTTTATGTGTTTGTGTTGGTCCAATTACTAAACCATTTTCATTATTGATGAAACAGCCGGCAGTTTTCTCGTTTAAAGCTAAATGCAGCTGGCGCGAGGGTTCGTTTTGGTGGAATGTGTCTTAAAATGGCATCAAACGATGAAAGCTGTTGGATTTTATTGTCTCGCTTCAGTTCTAAAGGTTCTCCGGTCCAATGAGTGTCTTGTGTTCGTCCCCCGTGCTGCTGTATGCGCACCTTTTAATGTGTTTGACGGTTCCACATCCATAGTTCTCAGCAAAGCCCATTCAACACGCATCAGACCACACTGAAGAGTTCCTCTTGAGATTTGCCACGGCCGATTTAGATCAAGTGACCGCAAGTACATGTTGTTATCCTTGAAGACTGACTTTTTTTCTGCCTTTTGCGTAAGGTGAAGCGTGTCCCCGCAGAAACGCTGACGCAGCGCTGGACCGAGATGCTGGCGCCGCCTCATCCTCGCCGGTCGTTGCTGCTTTCAAAGGCAACTACGTCTTCAGCATTCCGACTGCATTCTCCACCCACGTCTTCGCTGTATTTCATTGTGAAAGACTTTATCACTCAACGTAATACCTTTTTTGTTTGTCCGTATTTTCAGTTTTCCAGCAGGAGCTCGACACCAAACACGACAAACACGAGCGTCTTGTTAAGATCAGCCGAGACGTCACCATCGAAAGCAAGAGGACCATTTTTCTTTTACATCGAGTGACCAGGTATGCAGACATCAAGTTTGGAACATGAGATTTCTCCCCTTATTCTAATTTTCTTGGAGAATGCTGCTCATTATTGTAATCCACATGTTATTACCGTGGCTTTAGTTTTTTTTTATGTATGTGCATCTTGCAGACCATGCGTTTCTACTTTTGATTCTGTGTGTTCTCCCGGGTTGGAAGTGTACCAAATGCAGAGGATATTCTGAAAGAAGCAGAGGTGAAGCTGGATGCAGTCAGGCAGAAAATTGGTCAAATTGCTGAAGAACTCCGAGGAGAGGATCTCTTTCAGTTTCACAGAGCGTTCACACCAGGTGAGTTTCCCTTCTTTTGGTTTACCAAGGCCTTAATTATGATGAACATGATTGGCATTATTTCTATGATATTGCAGTAAGTGCATATAAAAATGGTCAAGGTTGAGTTTTTAGGGTCTGAAATATCCGCTCATGACATGTCAGGCCCACAGAGCCACATGGCTGGGAGCCTTACTGTGTCTTCTAATACCCAGAATACCCTACTGTTCCCGATGCATCAGAAAAACCTATTTGGTATAACTTATTACATACTATGTGAGATCCAGTATGTAAAACATATCCGGATGCCGTATTGCAGCCGCTGGCAATTTGCAGCATGCAAGTGAATGTAAAAGGAAAACGTTTGCGGTTTGGAAAGCAGTGCACGTCTTGTTGCCCTTGTCAGGAGTTAACGATTTAATTTTTAAAATAGATTTTACTTTTCGAAATAGTGAGGAAATCATACTGTAACCATACAACCAAAAACATAAACGCATGTTCTCCATGCATGGGTATGAACTTGCATTTGACCGTACTCGCCTCCTCACATTTACAAACTTTAACATATTCTTATACAGCAGATTTAGAGTAATTGACATTCCTTTCAATGCACATGTACCAACAAAGCTTCATATAAACCATATTTTTCTCCATGAATCTTTCAGCTTTATGGAGTAATTCCCATCAAAGAGTCCGAGGTTGTCCTGCATTCTAATTCTCAAAATTAGTACTTACTTCTACTACAATGATTCTATCACACTGATTTACATTTAATCACATGCTGTTTAATCCTCTCGTTCTAAAGGAGATGATGTAGTCTCGCATTCCTTTCCTTTCTTGAACTAAAATTCCTCATTTGAGAAATGAGTTTAGGATCCGTGCTGGCCTGGAATCACCTCAGTCGTTCCTGTTTGTGCTTTCGGTTAACGGCAAAGTCCCTGATAGTGTGAGAGCGTGACCTCGATGCCGGCCTGGATACGATAGGCACACCCTGATAAAACTCGGCTAAACTTGTTTTCCCGACTAGCATCAATGCCAGTTTTTGTTAGCGTAGCCAAAGTGTCTGCAGTGTTTTGGAGAAAAAGCATTACAGGGAGCGAGGCTCAGCCGTTATCTAGCAGCTGGGGAAGTCATTTTTAGATTGTGGTCATTCAGGAATCACAACTGCGACATCCGCGACGTGACCAGTGGCAGTTCCCGCCAATTAGCCGCTTCATTTTTCCCCATTTGGCATTGTTTATATTAGATTAGGACTGGTCTCGCTGCATGGGCCCTCCAGATAATCTTTGCCGGACCACAAGTCTCCGGGCTTGTGTAATTTTTTGCTTTTTTGATGTATTTATAAAGACCATCAACAATGTTTTGGGCTAAATCTAAACTAATTTCCAATTTGAATCCAGACCGTGTGTCCCCTTTTAACATGTGACTTCCTGTCCCTCTTACATTCACTCAGTGTCCAAGCTGACAACACTACCTTTTTTATCGTTTTGTTGTGTGACAAAGGTTATGAAGAAAATGTCAAAGGACTACTGGTACTTTCTGCGTGAGAAGAGGATAGAGTCCGTCTTGTAAACAGTTAATTTAAACCCTTTTAAATATTAACTTTAAGTACTTCCCCATAACGTGAAAATAAATGACTAAATCAGCAGAATAAATAAGGTCACCCCAGGTCATCTCAATTTCTAAAGGATTTATAAATGCATTGATGATAAAGTGCTTCTTAACTAGCATTTGAAACTGGCACCCAGTGACGTAAACGTCTACATAGTTAATAATAACACAACATAACACATTGACAAGGACACATCGGATGCAGTGAAGCATCACTGAGCCAAAAATGGCCCCGGGAGGCTTTGCGTGTAAAATGCAGTCAGAAGGAATCTAAACACACAATCTTGTTGTTTTTTTTTGTTGTTTTTTTTAACTAAACTTAAAAAAGCGGGATTCCGTTTTTTCAGAGTAAAAATAACGAATTGCGAGAGCGCCACGTTCTCTCCTCGCCGCACACTAGGGTTCACCACGCCGAGATACGAGGCCCTTTGAAGTGCAATTGCCGTTCCGAAAGTAAACTTCAGACACAAAGTCTTCCGTCCTGTGATTATTTGATAGTTGTTTACACAGGGCCAGAAAACAAATGAGGGGGGGCGTCACAGCGCGCCACCAAAAAATGGCCACAATCAAAAGACAGCGACAGGAAACCGGTTTTATTTGAGTCATTATCTGCATGTAGGATCTCCTCTGCAGATACCATGTAGTGTTTACACACACAGTACGTGCTCTGCTCATCTGATACAATCGACCTCCTTATTAGTAAACCTCAAACAGGTTGAGAAAATACCCTAAAGGGCTTTGGATTCAACAGCTGCAGCAGGGAAACGTCTGGATGTATTCCACTATTGTTTAGTGGAGGTTCATGTCAAAGTCACTTCATGCTTTCAGGAATCCAGGAGTATGTGGAGGCCGTCTCTTTCCTGCACTACATCCGCCATCGCGGCCTCATCAGCCTGGAGGAGATCAACGCCAGACTGGTTTTCAGCACCGCTGAGAAGGTAGATCCCGAGGTAAATTTAAAGAAGTTGCAACGTTGGGTTCTGAGCATTATGTAAAAGTGTCTTTTCATATTCGTTCTCCTTGGTGTTTTTCGTCTCAGGGCACAGCCGAGGAGCCGCAGACGGCAGGTCCTGCCCTGACCTTTCAGGTGACCCCCTCCGACTACCTGCTGGGCGTGGCCGACCTGACCGGGGAGCTGATGCGCATGTGCATCAGCAGCGTGGGCAACGGCGACATCGACACGCCGTTCCAGCTGAGCCAGTTCCTGCGGCAGATCCACGACGGCTTCTCTTACATCGGGAACACGGGCCCGTACGAGGTGTCCAAGAAGCTGCACACGCTGCGACAGAGCCTGGGCAAAGTGGAGGACGCCTGCTACGCCCTGCGCGTCCGCGGCTCGGAAATCCCCAAACACATGCTGGCCGACGTGTTCTCCAGCAGGACGGCGCTGCCCGACCCCGAGGAAGGCGTGGTTTGAGTGCCGCGCGGCCTCCGCGACGTTCGCCCGCTCCTTGGCGTGATGGGTTCAGTTGCTCCCCGGGTTGATGTTTTGTACGTACTTTTAATGGGGTTTGATGGATGTTTGGTATCGTTTGTGACCTGCTTGTTAATTCTGTTTTTACTGCTCAAATAAAAACAGTGTTCCAATAGACAATGGATTATTTTTCTTTGATAAGGATCTGATGACTTCAGTTGTTTTTCGCCTGGACAAAAGTTCTGTGCCAAATATGCTACGCTCTCCCAGTCTTTAAGCGGCTTTGATAATGTGTGTGTTTATTTTATTTTGCTCTCTGCCCTCCCCTCGCTTTATCACACAGATAATCTAAGGTGCAACCATTGGCTGCTTGCACACCCTGCATACTGTGTGGGAAGGATCATGTGACCTTCATACGTTGTACGTGCCTGTTCTCCGCCAGCCACACATCGCTTCCTCGTTACAGCACTCCGCTCTACAACGACACCAATTCACAATACGTTTTTGAGCACGCCGAGAAATATTCTTGGCATTGAAACGATATTCTCCTGCAATTTTCTCCTGAGTTAATTTGATGGGGGGGGGGGTAAATATATTAGCATCCAGATGGACAAGGCCTACAAAGTCTATAATGAGTACAAGAGAAGAATGTCATTTATGAGTCAAGCTGCAGCATGAACTCCATGTAGATTTTTCTGTTTCTATCCCGAAGCCTATGATGTGCTTGTCGGCGATAATCTCTCATAATGTGGAGCTTTAAGATTAAACGTATCCCTCTTTGATTCATTTAGCTTTATATCTAAAAATTACAAGCATTTGGTAATAATGCACAAAAAAAACATCAGTAATTTCAGTGCCCTTGATGTTCTTTCTGCAGGCCGGAAAAGAAGGTTCAATTAATCCAACTCTGCCACCTGGTGGATCAATATAAATACTTCAATGTTCATCATAGAAGGAAAAGATGATTTAATTAAAACACTGCAATAAACCACTTTTGAAAAAAAACTATAATCTGCCTTCGTATGCAGGCTTAATTTAAGCTTTTAGAAGCTAGTCTTTTTTCAAAAGACTGCCGTTTTCCTACTTTTGTTCAAGGAAAACGGATTTGTTGTATCTGTAAAGTTGTATTTAAAGATGTAAATAGGTCACATCAACCCCCGGTCCTCATGCTCACTGTCTAGCTGTTTGTTTCAAAGAATTTCAAATGTAACAAACATTGCATGTGGAACATAAGAGAGCCACCAAAGCCTGTATGCAAAGAAGACAAATTCAATGTTTTTACAGAAAATAAGAGGACAGACGGCTAAAGGCTAATTGACAACTGAGCATTTACATGTGGGAATGAAAAACTTTAAAACGTATCAAACAAAAGAAAAACAAAACAGCTTTTTCTCTTCCACAGAGCGAGCTGTGCTGTCTCGAGACAACGTGCATTGCACATTAACAGGAATCACGCAAAAGAGAGAGTTAACCCCGCTGTGTCGGCACAGTGGTAATTAATAGCACTAAGATTCAGGCCCAATCTCACCCCTTACGGACTCACGGACCTTGAGGCCTCCCACCATCACTGCGTGAGGGTTTAGTTCTGTCCCATTGTCAAATAGTGGAGTGTGTGAGGGCTCTCTGACCTTCTATGAACCCCTTTCCCTAAGTCAGCAGGGAAACAACGAGGACGGCACACGCGTGTTCAGGTGGTCATATTAAAATGTATACATTTAAAACATGGAGAATTAAAGAAAAAGAAAAAAAAAAACATGAACGTGGCTCATATCTGAGGATGCTGACAGCGCTAACATTTCAGACAACAGCTATAGTTTGGAGTTTTCCTGAGGGTTGAGTTTTACAATTAAAAGTTGGGTTAAGTGCATTTCAACGCTGCTAATGGCTTCACCAATACCAAACATCTGCATTCATCAGTAGTCCCTTCCCGCCCTCTGTATGAACTTGCATTGAGGAAGATGTGCAGCTTCCCTCCTGCAACGAACGGCCCATCGTCAGCCTTCCATTTGAAAAAGATCAGTGTACGTCTCCACCTGGCGGATAAACCGTTGTACTGCACCCATTCTGAAGGATTTTGCCTGAGACGCGAGCCAACGTTAAATACAAATGTCTAAAAATGAAACGTCAGGCAAGATCAAATCCAATTGCTGATATTTTCTCTGCATACCTTTTTTTCTTCTTCTTAGATGAGGAATAAGTGACATCAGAGTTTCCCCATTCATTATGCGTTACGTGGCCACACAGACATGCCGTCGGCTGATTTAATCGGCATGCATCCGAACACTGACGGGATTTTACACGGGATCAAACCCATTTCAACCCTTTCCGCAACGCAGTCTCTCATTCCCTGGACAGTGCAGCCCGACGGAGGCACAAAGGAGCTCTCTGTCTCGGGTCCTGTCCGTCAGCCGGGCGCGCTGCATGAGAGGGACATTTGGATGCGTGGGGAGGAGGATGAACAGACTCTGCTCTATGTGGGGTCTCTCCTCGTTTATCCCCTCGCGGCATCAACAAAGGAAGACTTTCGTTTTCACGTCAGGGGCGTCAAAAAAATATGCAGTTTTGCACACAAACAAGTTACTTGACCCACGCATTTTAAATGCGCGGTTAGTGTCAACAGTGCAGGGACGCACGTGTCCAAGTATATGTGGAGTTATTCCAGTTAGACAAGACAGTGAAAAGCATTTGTGTTGTTGGCATAACAGAACAGAACAACAAGGAGCCGTTGGAACAATCATTTGGAAATGACTCTCCTTGCAAAACAAAAACCATGGATGTCAAGATCGTCAGCATATTGTTATTCCAGATTCAGATTTTGTTACGTCATGTTAAATTTGAAGTCTCTTAAATACCTTTACACTTTTTTAAAATGCAAAACAAAAACACAATAATGACAACATCTGTTAGTTAAGTTTTGGATTTCCCAAACAGACTTAAAAGTCGTGTAACTGGACGTTTTCCTGTTTTATTTTGTCCATTTCCCGTTTACACACACACACACACACACACACACACACACACACACACACACGGCGGAGCCGGCGATGTGGCCGCTGCATTCACAGGCGACGAGGCGGTCTGACGGAGTCTGGAGTCAAATTCCTGAACACGTAGGACTCCGCGCGCCGCGCCGCGCGCACTCCCCGGATAACGGATCGCTGATCGCTCTCTGACGGGACGCGGGTTTTAATTCGTTTTGCCACTTCTTGCCCCTTTTTCCGCACCGAACCGAACCGTGATTTCTTTTTTTAACCCAATTGCTCCACAAGAAACATGACATGAGGATCTTTGTCTCTCCAGAACCGACTTGCGTTCACGCGCAAAAGCCCCACTTGTTTGGCCGCGGAGAAGACGCGTAAGAGTACGTGAAGTACTCGTAGTCGATTCTGTCAGGGAGGGTTCTTTGTGGACGAGGGAGAGCGTGTGAAAAGCCGGTTTGAGACGTCATTCCGAAGCGAGGACAGAGAAGAAGAAGAAGAAGAAACATAACAGCCTGCAGGGCTCATTTTTCCATAACGGAAATGAGATCAGTGCCGTTGGCTGGCGTCACTTCTTACTGAAACATGGTCGATGAAAGCGGCACCGGGATGTGAGACGCGCCGACCCGGGCCGCGCACTGCTTGCTGTCAGCAGAAACATGTTTGCCGGACTGATGGGGCTGAAATGTAGGAGCAACTCTCTGCTCCAGCACTGCGAAGTCATGGAAGGTAAAAAAAAGAGGCTTTTTTGGGGGGGGTGGGTGGGTCTTAACTATCAATCATCAGCTTTTCTGCAGAAGGGTCGATGATGGAGGCTGGTTGGACTCCTCTCCAACAGCTCTACACATTACTTTGGAACTCTTTCCAAACATAATGATTAGGAAATTAAATAAGGATACAATAAAATAAAAAAGGAAATAAATACACCAGAAGTGTCTGAATACTGTGCTCTGTTAACAGTGCCGCTCCAACTCATCCACAACAAGACTTTGTTATTTGCACTGTGACGTTTCCTGTCACTGAACACACAGTGGGCTCAGGGTTCTCCAGCTGCTTGTCCACGCGGACATTCCCTCACTACTGCATGAACTTCCTTTGCCAGGTGGAAAAAGTCAGGTGGAAAAGGACGACGACCACCACGTGTGAGCGAGGGGTTCATAGGTAGTGGGTGGGGGGGCATGTGATGGCTCCTGGCTAACAGCAGCATTTACATCACAGCACAAATACATATGCCTGCGTATTGTTAGTATTTAACTGTGTTAACAACTGATTCAATGGTATTTGAGCTTTGTTGGGTGGATTCATTTCAGTGTCAGTCTTCAGCATCTGCACTGTATCTTCCCCTCGGCCCGACATGTGGCGTGTGATCCTTGTGTGACCACACAAGAAGAGTGCAGCTGTTTTTATGAACAAAGCATCACCAGAGCAGAGATCCAAATCTCTGCTCTGGTGATGCTTTGCTCTGCTCAGAGATCCTTGACGTTCATACACTACACTGCAGTGCAGTTTCCTGTCAGCAGGTTTTATTTTGGATGGATAGATTCACTTCCAGGTTACCGTCGGTTATGTTCGTGGTCAAAGACCTTTCGTTTCCCCATTTCTGTTGCTGTGGTCGGTCCCACGTGGCGAGTTGTTGCACATCTGCCGAGCAGTGCTGCTTCTCAGGAGGCCGCTGACATGCAGATCTGCTGGTGTGTGTGTGTGTGTGTGTTTGTGTGAGTCTGAGGCTGCTGAGCTTGTTCCTCCAACGTTTGTGTTTTTATGGGATCCTCTGCATTCCTCTGCTCTTTGGCCGAAGCACATTCAGCAACCAATGGGATGTGGTGTTTAAACCCCCGAGCTCGGAGGAGGGCCTGTGTAATCTCCCAAGGTAAATAATCTAGCCTCCTCTGGCTGGAACGCTTTTGTTTTTCCCACGAGTCTCCTCAAGACGAGCGACGCGTTGCGGAGGGAAAGCTGGTGTTGCTGCTGTGGAACCACTTCAGGTCTCCCTCTCGCTTTTTCCGCCGTTTCGGCCGGAATTCCTGGCAAACTATTTCAGCACAAAGCCTGGCAGGAAGCAGCAAATTACATACCTCTGAAGGGGCTTCAACAGAGTTGTAGATGCCCCCCCACACACACACACACACACACACACACACACACACACACACACACACACACACACACACACACACACACAATGGATGGGCCCTGATGCATTTCCTTCCCTTTTACTCAGAGGAGCTGTCTTTGTGTAATTGAAGCAGGACGAGGATGCAGTACCACTTTCTATCAACGAGTGCTTCCCCCTTCTGTCTTTCCTCGACTCTCTTGAGTGGGCTCCACATTCGATCTCGGCCACAGCAGACGGCCGACGGTTGTGTTTGGTGCCTACGGAGAGTGTTGGGTTTCCTGAATCGGTTGTGGGACAGTGGCCGCGTCTATAAAGAAACAGTAATGAATCTTGTGTATTCGGCTCGTCGAGGACGTCTCTCCTCTCAGACATATATCCTCCGGACGAGTGGAACCGAAGTATCTCTTAAAACACACATAAAAGGGCATCTCTCTTTGGTTGTCGGCACTCCCCGGCAGAAACCAAGGGGGGGGGGGGAGTAGTGGTCGTGGTTTGTTCGGTGCCCAGAATACAGCTAGAAACAGAAGAACTGAGCTCCCCAAGTGAGGTACTTGTGTATTTGATGGTTCCTGATGTACGATTGAGTCATTGAGTATAACAGGATTTTACAACGAGTAGTATGAATGCCCCTTGTGTTCTCTGTACAAACGTCTGTGTGTCAGCGGGGGGGTGTGCGTGTGGGTGGAGGGAGAAAATTGAGAGCCAGAAGTGAAAGAGGGCGAGAACGCAGCTGTACACAAAGGGGCTGTTCATCTCCCGACGCTTTAGCCGGTCTGCATCTCCAAATCCTGCACGTAAAGGGCATTCATCTCTGGAGCTGCAGCAGGTGTCCAGCTCCGAACACACATCTTCATCATCATTACGCTCTACTCTCTGTGCGCCTTTTACCACGACGTTCATTGTCATTGCTCGGGTTGGACACGTCCGTCTGCAATGGTTCTCAAACCATTTGCGTCCATATAATCCATTCACATGCCATTCAAACAGTCAGGATATGAGATAAATTAACATTATTTAGGACATGGACTGCGTGTTTCTTTGTTCTCTCTAAATCATATCAGGTCTACAAAGCGTTTCAGCATCTTTCAGCTTGAGTTTGAAGATGTGCAGCCCAACTGCTGAACTTTGTTCGTTAGCAATAGAGAGCTGGGGCTGTATGCTACTTTGTCAGCTCCAAACAGCAGTCAAACTAAGTGAGAAATAGCCAGATGTTTCCTTCAAGAGATCAGACTCACAACTTCATGAAGTGGACACTAACAGAACTTCATAGGCAACAGTTGGCTTATGAAAACATTATTATTATGTCAATGATGTTTCCTCCATTATCCAGAGGAAAACAATGATCAACTAATGCCTCTATAATGACATTGATCTTAGCAGTCATCTTGTCCAGACTGTATGAAACACATCTGACGTGCCTTTGGGATTTCTAAATTAAACTAAATAGTTAGATCTTATCAGCCTCGTCAGCATCCGAGGTTGCTCTCCAGCAAATAAATACTTACCAATACCAAGCACTCATTCTAGTTTGTTAGATACTTGATTTGATTTATTGGTCAGATCAGTTCCCAAATCTTGTGTTTACCAGAAATCTTTTCAGTTACTCAGAGCAGTCATGTTTGTAGTTTGTTCAAAGGTGGATCTCATTCATTTAGCTTCACTGAAAATCACAGCCATCACTGAATGGATGTGATTCTCAAAGACGAACCGATTCAAATGTAACTTCAGGAAGCATCGTTCCTCCGCTGAGAGGGGCGGGCCTTAACTCAAAGTGACGGTGTGACTTTGGTATTTCCCAACAGCTGCAGCAGAAACTCTGGGAAATGTCAGACATCTGCCCGAGCTCTCACTCATTCGGTTAGCAACGCTGGCTTCGAGGGCGGAGGGCGGTCGCATAACACACCAGAACACTTGTTGTTGCAACGTTTTGTAATTGGCACATTTAACGCATCGTCTTGATGTTTTATCTAATCCCGTTCTATGAGCCCGGTCTGTATTGTCTTCATGACCGTGTTGTCCAGCCTAACGCTTAATCTGTGCATCGCCAGGTGGCAGAGCATCTGGCACAGCTGGCTGCTCCGCTCGTAAGAGGCTCCACCGAAGACCGGGCGACCTGAGAGGAGAGCAGTCCAGACCACATAGCACCACTCATGGGCAGGAGGAGGAGGAGGACGAGGAGGACAAGGAGGACGAGGAGGAGGAGGAAGAGAGGACCACTTGTATTAAGAACGGAACATCCGGTCGTCACGGCGACATCTTTGGGGCAACCAACGCTCGGATTGAGCAGCATCCAGATAAACTTAAATGTAGCTCATGGGAGAGTCTTCTCTCCTCTGTTTCCCATCATCTTCCTCATGTGGACTACGGCGCCAGTAATGGTGCCTCCAGCCACCGGGGTCCGTCCTCTTCGCCTCAGAAGGAACTCGGGTTGAGCCCGGCCGTCCGGTCCTCACCAGAGGACTCCTTCAACTCCAGCTTCAGTTTCATCCGGCAGTCCCTCAACTCCAGCCAGAGGACGGACGCCACTAGTGCGCCGCCGTCCTGGCAACCAGAACCACTATGTCAGTCAACTGGGGCACTCGGCCCGCCTATGACTAAACCAGCGGCCTCGTCCGTTGGGCAAAATGTCTCACAACAGTCAGCTCCTGTCCAATCACTGGCCCCCTGCAGCCGGGCGGCGCCGGAGGAGACGTGCCTGGGCGGGAGGTTTTGGCGGGAGCGTGCGTGGGAGGTCACCGGCGACCTGGCCGACAGCGACTCACCGGGCGTGAACATCGAGATCACCTCTGTGGACTCAGACACCGCCTCCGCCTCCTCCGTCACCTCCGGCTACGAGAGCGCTGCGCCCGCCTCCGACCGCTGCTGGGAGAACCTGGTGAAGAAGTACGACGGCGTGCTGCAGCACTGCCTCCAAAACAACCGCGCCCACGCCAAGGTGAGCGGTGAAAGGGTGCAGAGTCACGGCTCCAACGCCAAACACACAGGGTCACATTTAGGATTGTTGGCATTACAGAAACATCATTTAGAAAGAAACAATTTAGCAGAAGTCCTCTTAGGAAACATAGCTATCACAGAACCTTCAAGGACAAAAGTAAAACATCCAGTGGGGTAAATCTCATCCAAACTTCAAAATGAACTTGTTGGATCCAACTAATTCCTCAACGTATCGGAGGCTGAACATGCTAAACAGCTGGAATCCCTTAAACTGTCTGTAGCTGTTTACTTTGGGCCTTTGCCGACTGTTTGTCGTGGCTCGCCCTCTGGAATGTCGGGTAATCGGTTGTGTCTTCCGTCTTTCGGGTCTCCCTCTCAGATTGAGTCCGTGACGGTGAAGCTGCAGGGGCTTCAGCAGAAAGCCATCCTGGATGACGACTATGACGCAGGTAAGACTTTCAGTAGAGACGCTGCTTTAATAAGCGAGTCGTCTCGGCCGCCTCGTTCCCTGCAGGGGCGGATGGATTGTCGACCGTTTATTGTTCGGTCTGATATATTGCATGCTTTTGTTAAAGAAAAAATTAGTTTAGCAACTTTTATTGATTAATACGAAAAAACGCTTTCATTTGTTTGATATATTTGGTGTCTAAACCCTAACCAGCAAGTTGTCAACCCTAACAAATGTATTTATTTGGATATATGTATTTGGACATTATTTTCAATGTTTCTCCAAAAAAAGGATAATTCTCTGTACTCCGTGACAGGAATAAATGCCCACATCTGCATTAGACCTTCGGCTTGTAATTAGTTGGGTCAGAGTGTCTTTCCAGGTCTTCTATTTGCCCTTTGGTTCTATGCACTGCGACCTCTGACCAGTTCACCACCCCGCTAACGTCTGCTGCTGTGTTTATGTCTATATGCCATATAGCCGTTCATTAGAGCGACTTGCTGAACAAGCTAAATGAAGGATTTGTAAGGTTTAAATAATAGCAGATGTCTTAGAAACAGCAAGCTGAGAACAGTCTGTATTGACAGAAGGTTTTTGCTGTCTCTGACCTACTGACCTTAACCTCATTGCTAATAATTGAACATTTCTGGAAATGTTGCTGCATTTTATTTAGTGTGTGTGTGTTCTCAGCGGAGCGTTTTGGGACGAAGCTGGAGGATCTGTACCGGGAGCGGGGCGCGCTGAAGCTGGGTTTACCCTCGAGACAGCCCAGCGTGGAGGTGTTTCTGGAGCGGCTGAGACGGGTGGTGCACAGCGTCCTCCAGCGGGCAGACTGCGCTCAGTGCAGGTCAGTCACACCGCGACGTCGCGCTCTGCTGGGGGAGCAATAAACGCCATGTTCTGTGGTTAATGGCTTTTTAATCCTTTAGTAGTCCTTTAGTTCCAAACCGTTTCTACCCATTTAAAAATGAAGTGTGTTTTTCTTGGTCTCTTATTGACACATGGAGAACCATGTTGATCGCTTTTGAAATGAATGTATAGTTGTATACAGTTATAGTTTTGAATGGTATTATTCACAATGATTTTATTTTGAGGACAATATTCTACCAATGAGACATTTGCTACGATCTGATTTCATTCCATGGTAGTTGACAATAATAAAGTGTTGCTTCACAGCCCTACGCAGGCTGGGGAATTGAAGTAAACAGGTTCTTCAGCTCTTGGAGAATTTAGCTTTATTACGTGGTTTAAATTGAGTTCATTATCTTGGGCCTATGGTTGTGATCTAGGTTCCGTTATAATGTAGAGGAGTTAAAAATATCTCTTGTAGCAGGAAGGATCAGGTGGGGCCTCTGCCGAGTGTATCCTGCACAAATGAAGCAATGCACTCTTACTGTTTTCCACACATAAAAGCCCCTCAGAGCGTAGACCGGTAAAACATGTTGCCGCCATAGATGTAACGCAATTTCTGTTCTATAAGACATGGGTTTGAACCGTGGGCCAAACTGAAGGGCCTCAAACATGGAATTTCATGTCTTCATTGACGTCCATGAAAATACCCTACTTGACACGTATTATTGTCCAATAGGAGCAAAACAAGCGATGGGTGACTACTTAAAGGGCCCCTAACCGCTAAAGATACTGTTTAGATATTAATATTAATATAAACTGAATTAACTGTTAACTGCCTTCTTCTACCACCGATAACACCACCATTGCCAGTTAGAGGAAGGGTAAAAAGTGTTTGCCTGGTGTCCCATATCTCCAAATCCACTCGGGGTCCGACGCCTCGGTGAAATACACTGAACACACATCGTTTCCGATTGGTAACCAGTGTCCCCAGTACACAGTGCACTTGCACTGCATCCCTTTGTTTTAGCTCAATGGGCAAAAAAGACCTTGAAATCTGAATGAATGTTTGTGTCCGGTTGTCAGGGAGACCAGCGGGCCCGATGCAAAGGAGCGGTCCGACTCATCGCGCGGGTCACTGCAGCGAAGAGACTGCCTGATCCGAGAGAAGCGGATGGTGGAGGTAAATTCAGCTCACGTTAAGTAATTAAAGCGTACAAAGGTAATTCCCGCCACTTCAGTTCCCGTGCATGTGTAATATGATACTGATAGGCCTTGTGCTGATAAGTCCTCCTCTCCGACGCCCCGATGATTAAATAAAACCCGTGCAGGAGGAGATGGAAGAGCTGCAGCGGAGGCTGACGGAGCTGAAGGAGCGCAGCCGATGCCTGGGGCAGCGGATCCAGCAGGAGGAGCAGCAGGTGGAGGCCGAGGAGCTGGAGGGCTCCGTGCTGAGGAGCTGCACCGTCGCCCAGCTCCGCGACTTGAGCCGAACGCTGCAGGACCTCGTGGCCTCTGAAAGCCGCGCGCAGATCTCCGTCTCTCCTCCGCCCTCCCTGCTCAGGTGGGCGTCACGTATGTGCAGGATATCGTGTCACGCGGCACGACAGGTGTAGCATCTGTAGCAAGGCGGCCTTTTAATGACGCCTATTTTACGTGAGTCGATCTATTGCTGTCGAAAAGGTGTTTGTGCTTCTGAGAACAATGTACAAATGTAATGATATTTGCATTATACACGTTATAGTTTTTTCCCCAATTGGTCAGGGGAGTTGCACTTTGATCGGCTGACAGTGAACTTACCTACATTGACATTACTCAGAGGTGATATGATTGGCTGAAGGTTGCACTTGTGGTGTATTTTATCATTACCTGGATTTGGATCTGGATTTCATTATTATGTAATGTGCTCTTAATAGATATTCTATAGACTAAATGGCAGAAAACTCTCGTATCATGCAGTGAGTAGTTCTCCCAGTTCCTGCAGTACCGTCAGTCACCAGGTGGAGCTGCTAGTGAGCTATGAGAGGGAGCAACGCTCATCAGTCCATGAACGTTTTCCCTGCATTAAGTCACGTATTTCCTTATCATTAAATGAGCTCGTTTAAAGGACGACGTGTAGGAGTACATTCTCTATTTCATGAAATCTTTGCCTGCCGGCCTCATTCGTCCTCCGACAGACAAAGTGGCGTTTGCCATCTTTCGCCGTCTGGTCTCAAAAAAAGTACAACCCATTTAGAAAAACCACCGTCATGTTTTCAAGCCAATTATCACCTCAAGCGATGCGCTTTGACAATGCAGATGTAGCTGAAAGTGGGCAGGATGAGTGCACTTATAGGGAGTCGCTCTGAACAAAAAGCAGCAGCCTTCAGTGACATACTGCAATAATTGTGCAAGACTTTGCAAGGAATGATTTGTTTATTTTCAGGTTTAGAGAGGACGCATCAAGAACCCTCAACTACTTCTTCTTTATTCCTCGAATCCCCCTGTGCCCTCAATCCTCTTTCCTCACACCTGCTTGAACCTGCTTTGAATTTTAATGGGTTTTCTCAGATGCGAATGATTAGTTTGCATCGGATCCTCTGCACTCTGGAAAGCGTCTCTGTCTTGCCACTCATTAGAAAGATGTAAATTGTACTTATCGCCTTCTCGGTGGCGTGACCCGCCATCACTGGCCTGATTTGATATGTGGCGTATTCTCACCCCAACTGGCATGCATATATTCTCGCTACTGATTGAAATTGCGACCTCAGATTCGATATTCAGCTGCGCTTCTCCAGGTTGTGTCCTTTAGGTCGTCATGATGATTGTGTTGCTTGTGTTTCCCTGCCTCAAATACCACAGGACCCCCCCCCACCCCCCACCCTCCCTCCTCCAAAAAAGGTGCTTACTGATTTTTGTGAAATGAGCTGATTGGGAACATCTCAAGGTGACTCTGTTTTGCATAATGGATTTTATGCTCATTTTGTTTTCGTCTACTAATTGATTTATACCTCTGTCACTGAATAATGTGACCTTGTCCCATTTGCACGTTTCCATACATGCACGGTAATACACATTACCCCCACTACCCCTGATCTATGAAATGATCATGCTGACAGCCAACCAGTTAAGAGTTTTGCTTCCAAATTTGAAATTATAGCTCTTATGCTTCTCACATGTCATTAGTCTGAATCAACTTTACTTGGCATTATGTAAACCTCTTATTCTGGTACGTTTTTGCTGCAGATGCAAAAATCTAGACATAAATGATTAGTGCCTACGGCTTTCCTCTTATTGCTCGGAGCAGATCTCTTAAGATATTCCTTTATGAGAGATTTAAAATTCAGCAACTCTCTGTGTTTAGCAGCAACATGAGTAAATTCCAGTAAACTAGTGGATCTTTAATCCCTTCATTGCCATCTATTGCTTCCGCTCAAATGTCCCAGAAGAAAGAAATTACCTTCAGCAATCTAACTGTTTTACGTCTTTCTTTTTTTCTTTCTTTTTTTTTTTACAGACTCCAACAGCAGCAGCAAGAATTGAATTTGTCCATCAAGGAAGTCACTGCTAAAGTAAGCCACTGTTCCTCTGACCCATTTAGTCCAAAAAGCGCAGCCCCCCCCTCAGCAGGCCAGTAATGACTGAATGTTTGTGAATAGCTAATGAGTAGTAAGTCAAGCTGGAAAGCATATCCTGTGTGCCAGCGTCAACATATTAAATATGCAAACCGAATGTCTGCAGTCTTGATCTTATTCTCACGTGACCAGGCAGTGAACCCCCCCATAAGAGTAAAAGTTGTTTTATAAAAATTGACCTTTATAAAGGCCTCCGTGTAGCCATGCAGCAAAAAATCCAAATATCCGAGTAGTTCTGTTTGTCAACTTTGTGATTTGATTCAATTGAGCTTTTTAGCGTCCCTTGGACGGATGGATTCATAGACCTATGTGAAATATCTGTTTGGCTTTTGTTGGCTTTTCTTTCCGTGTCAGTGTGTATTCCTGTGTGTGTGCGAGTGGCTTTGCATGTGTCCCCTTTGTATGTGCCGTGTCTCTGGAAGTTCCCCTTTGCTTCTAAGGGGGTTATTTTCCCCTCTCACTGATCTCTATACATAGATCTCTGCAGCTCAAAAAAAGCCGGAAGCAGCAGAAATCCGTTAGAAGTGTTGGTTTAAGGCAAGAGGGAGAAAGGAGGCAGTCCGTGGCGGAAGACGGGGGGGCTCAGAAAAGACCTCTTTGCTCTCACTTTGTTCTTTAGAAAGCCATCATCAAATGGCTGGTCAACATTTCAATTGCGCCTGAAAGGAAAATGTGGACTTTCCACTAAGACACACTTTTACCTCAATCAAAAGATCGCCCATTGTTAGGATGAAATGAAAAAGCGTTGTTCTTAAATGAGTTAGCCACCAAGTGGAAAACGGCAGACCTGCTGTGACAAAGTGATTGCCGTCATGAAAGTAACTTCCGCTTTCGCCGTTGACTTTTTCCCCCGAGACTGAAGAACGGCTTGCTGAAATGAAATGACACACACGTAAGAATTTCTACAGTTTGAAAGGCGCTCAAGAGCAGTTTCCAGTTCGTGTAATGCGTGAAATAATATTATGCAAGGCTGTTTGTTATATTTCTGTGGGAAGAGAACTCCCAGGAGATGTTCCCCCTCAGAAATACCAACCCATTTGACAGCCTTTTCACAGTGTTTGAAAAAAAAAGAAAAACGCGTCAGATCCAAGACGAAAGATTTCTCGGAAAATCCGTCTCTGCACCCCTTTGAGTTTTGAGAATAGTTCCTCAAAAGAAAGACGCTTCATGGGTATTGTATCGGGTTGTTATTCAGAGTGAATACAAGGGAAAGAACAGAGGTTTAAAGGGCAGAGTGAGGGAAGATGAGGGGGCCAGACAGGCAGTATCTGAAGCCATCGACTCCTCTGTGGATACAGCAGAGCGAAGGCGCCGCAGCCCCGTCAGGCCCGTGACATTCAAGGCCTTTTTCCTCCCTGACATTCTAGTGACATCTTTTATGGAGATTTCATATTTCCATGTCCGTCCACGCGCATTCTCTTTCCTTTGGAAAAGGTTATGGGCTAGGTAACAGATCGGCGCTGATGCTCGCCTGTGTATTCAAAGCAGGCCGAGCACAGAGGGACGGAAATGAATCCGTAAGGTCTTGTAAGAATGAGTGTCAAAAAGAGAATGAAAGTGGAATTGGAAATGAGCTCTGCATCCTGTGGGATCCATGTGTCTGCAAAGGTTTGTTAGTTACCCCTCCCACCCCCCCCCCCCGCTCGGTTGGGGTCTTCCTTAGGCTCTTTATGTCCTTGTTTTCCCCAGGTGTTCTGAATCAAAAGCTGGGCAGCATCCTGAGGAGGAAAGCCACGAGAACGAAACTCAGCTCTGGCTCTGCACGAAGCCAAATGGGAAGCCTCTCCGGTAAATCTCCCGCTCTGCCACACCCCGGGTACACCCTTACCCACGTTTCGCGTCCCTTCAATATCCCGCGGTTGCTCGGATCGGCCACCATTAGCCTGCCTCAATTACGCCGTTAATGACGGAGGCGCTCGTTAACGGGCGTTGCGGCACCTTAATGTCTTCCCCCGTGGCGCACCGGTGCAGGTAATGACTTCAGCAGTGCCAAGGAGCTGAAGGCCGAGATGAAGGCGGTGTTCCTGGAGAGGGACCGGCTGGACGCTCTGGCTAAGAGGCTGCACAGCCTCAGCTGGGGGAGCAGCCAGGAGCTGGGCAGGATGAAGGAGCAGCGGCAGCAGCTCAGGGAGGAGCTGGAGCAGAGGGAGGCCCAGCACGGTGAGTCACGGACGCCAAGAAAGGGAGGAAACTACACGGCCAAAATCTCATTCAAATTGTCATGTTTCCATTTTACAGGGCGATCAATTATTGATCTTTGACCGTTTAAATCACCCGGTTTTTTTTCTCCGCCACCTGCGTGTGTCTGCTTTGTAAACCAGATGTGAGGACAAAGCTGACATACACACGGCGAATCAACAAGCAGCTGCCTGTGTACATAAAGCATAATCATTCATCTCAAGTCCAATACGGATTCAAATTTGAGCTCAGCTGAGGAAAGAAAACATGAAAGTAGAAGAGGTGCATTCAGTTGTGTCCCGTTGATCACAGCTGGGAATAAATTCGAACCCACAATCATCAATAATCCAGCTATACTCTGATAAGGCATCGTATAGTGTACTGCAGTTCCAGTTGTCGTAATAGATGTCGGATTAATGTCGGATTATGAAACAGGTACAACAGCGTGTGTAATGGTAGTTACACACACACACACACACACACACACACACTCGACCAATGGCATCATCCTACTGGTGGGGATGGTAAAATAAATGCACCATTAGCAAAACGGACACACACGACAAACGTTTTCTCGCCTGCTGTGACTGGAAAGCGTTAGTGTTGCATTTCTGAAAAGGTGCTTCTCACTGTCTTTGAATACACCTTTTTTTTAAATAAAAAAATCAATTCCAATGTGCTTCATGGGAGCTATTTGAAAGAGAAGTCTTCTCTTGATGTCCCTCCACGCTGGGAGAACATCAATGGGAGATGACTTTTCTCCCAAATGAAGGGGAAGTGATCTGCTGTCAGTGGGGAGTCGGCATCAAATTAGTTACCAGCAGGACTGGCAGTTGTTGAGAGGAAGGGGAGGGGTGGCGGGTGTTTGTGTGTGTGTGTGTGTGTGCAGGGGAAATGAGCTTTAGATTGTGTGAAGTAGCCAATTACCTCCAAGCTACTCAGTGCAGACATGATGCTTCGGCGCTCTCCATGTAGAGGAGATCTCAATGCTGCTCGTGAAAAGGCTCACTTTTTTTGACGGATGGGTTGTGTGGATTGGTTTGGCCTCATGGTTCTGGTAGAGACATAAATTGACTTCCACAGCACCACCTGCGGCGGTGCTTTCTGAACTCCATCCGTCACATGGGCATTTCTAAAGATTTCTTTAAAAAAAAAAAAGGTCACGCTGAGACGTGAGCGCAGACAGACAGGCCAGAACAGGTATGCAGAGACCATTGACTGGAGCACAGGCTCCTGTTGCAACACCAAGGTGTGAAATCAGCCATCTAGCAGACGCCGTTGTGCAGACCATTAAGGCCGGTGGCTGCAGAGTCCACTGTCATGACTTGAATGCGCCCTCTGCTGCCACTAGAGGGCAGCCATTCATTGTGCAGCGAGACAGAGTTGCATCAAGTTTTCATGGGGGGGAAGATTTGAAAGCATTGTACTAGAAACCAAATCATTTTAATTACTGTTACTTCCCCTTAACCTTTGTGCATGAAACTCAATCACCTTTCAGATTTTGTTGTTGGAATACAGTCACCTTGACATGCTAACAGAGAATGAATCTCTTCCCAAGTTCAAGTTCACCTCGCTATCCTACACACACGGTGTATCTCTCACATTGAGGCTGGGAAACCGGTGACCTGCGCACGCTCGGTCTGAACAAAGGAACGGAAATGAGACGCAAAGAGACGCGTCGCAAATGTGAGAAGAGACGGCAAGTTAATGATTGGTTGTGCGACTTGTGCTCGAATACTCGAGTGGGCAAACGCAATATGGCATCGGGCGCGAGCTCGCAAAGCGTTGCTAACACCAAACAAGGGGCTCATTAAACTGTCATCCTATTTGGTAATAAGGGCTGGTGCACGCTATCTGGAAACGGATAGCCCACAAATAACACATTAGCGTTTCTTCAACTGGAGGAGATTAGAAACGATGGCGTGCTTTAAGTCGAGGTGGCCGTTCATTTGGTTTCTGAGGCATTTATAGCACCACCCTTAATGACACCAGTGTTCCACCATTAAAGCCTTCTTCAAAAGGCTGGTTGTCATGGCATGGGCTCCAAAGCAACACGTAGATACCTGGACAAGATCCATGCAGATGCATCCAGTTAAACTGGACAGCTTCAGCTTGTTGAGCGTCTCCGCCCAGCGTACTCTGTAGTGGGGGGGGGGGGGGGATCTTTTTTTGGCGCCTGGGAGCCATTACGTCCCTAATTGCCGATGGCGGGAGTGCTGATGAATACCAAACCCATTATAGCCGGAGGTTTGATTCCCCGCTGAGAGTATAATTTTGCCCCCAAGAGAGATCTGGAGTGAGACTAAATTTACAAATAAATAATTGAAGAGCTGAATAACACGAGTAAATGACCCCCAGGGGTGAGGACATTCAAATAGGGGGTGTCAGAGTGTCGCACTCCTGATTTATCAAAGTATTCTATCAATGCTTATTTGATGCTATTGTTAGTAGCCAGGTGGTACATTCTGTAGTCAGGCTGTCGTCTCCACATGGCTCCACTGGGACAAATGTAATTAGTGTAAGGTTTTTTTTTTGGTCCTCAGCTGCATCTCCACCATCTATTCTTCCTTTAAACATCTCCCACTCATGCAGTGCTTTATGCTCCTGAGGAGGGAGTCCATTCAGACCAAACTCGGCCTTCCATACCAGAGCAGCACCTGAAGTGAACATCTAAATGCTGTCCGTCTGTGTAATTAAATTAATGTCCTCATAATGGAGTGCAAATAGTAAGGACAAGGACATACATGATTTATTCATGACCCTGTTTCTATCAGGGTGCTTCTGTTGAGAACATGATGGAACATATAAACAGCTCTTCTCCTAAAGAGTGTCTAAATGATTGAGAGCGCTGTAGTGGTTAAGTGGACCCGGGAGAATGTTTCCTCCTTTTTGTCACTGACGTTTTGGCAGCATTCATTTATTTTCCCAGTGATTCAGTGGAGGAATCACTGCGTTGTGAGTTTTATTTCATTCATAACCATCTGAATTACTTCATAAAACAGAACGAGGTTGTCTGAGGTTTTGCTACAATGGCTCTAAGCACCATTTGCATTTGTTACGACTCGAATGGGAGGTTGGGTTTCACCGGTGAAGCTTTGTTTTTTCGCCAACTTAGCAGCATGTTAGCGCCACCACTTTGGTCCAGACTCAAATAGCTAATCAACTGCTGAAAGGATCATCATCAGACTTTCCATCTAGTCCCATCACTTGGTGGTCAAATACTTTGGTTTCTGACTAAATAGCAGCAAAACTTCCAGGACAATCCAATCACCCTCAGCTGTTGCCGATTACAAATGTTAGCATCCTAACACGTTAAACAAGCCAAACGTGGCGAACATTAGAACTGCTGTTCTCATGGCGACGTCAGCGTGGGCGCATGTTAGCACGCTGACGTCAGCTTTGGCTAAAAGCACTGAGTACAGCCTGAGAGAGCAGCTAGCATGGCTAGTTCAGAGAAAGGTTGTTGGTGGAAAATGTATTAGCCCAGTGCTAATGGAGTTTCTCAAAGGATACTGAGGAAATAATAGGACGTCAGTTTAATGGAGCAGGGATGTGAGCTGTCGAGATGGTATTTCAAAGCTTTTATGGCCCCGCAATTTAGAGACTTCTTATTTGTGCTGCCCAGCCAAAAAATGTATTTATTTACTTTGCAGCCCACAGCAAAGTAAAAAAAATCTATTAACAGAGATCCACTTGAGTTATGACGGCAGTGAGCATGTCTAACATTTTAGTCAGAGTATTTCAGTAGCCAAAAATGATATATATAGAGCACTTTGTGCTATAATGATTCCTTTTGTTGTGCATTCATACGTAGCCCCACAAATGTTTCTCCACGCCGGCTGCGATCTGTGTGCGCCGCTGTGCTTTGTGATCCCGCAGCCTCAGAGCACCACGGGTTGCTGCGTGTCTGCCTGAGATATCAGCCCGTCTCTCTGCCTTCATTAGCTGTGCTGCTTGGCTGCCACTACGTCCGCATACAGCCGCACAATGTCAGCGTCTGCACACGTCTGTGTTTGCGTTACCTGCGGTGCCGTTGCACTCAAACAGCCCGAGCCGAGCTTCAAACACATTAATCACCGTCGGTGCCTTCAACTCAATTACAAAGACACACAATTTCTCTTCTGCCTTATTATGCGCGGGCCTTTATGGCAGGCGCATCGGCAGTGCTGCGTTAGCGCGGCGCCGCCTCTCGTTTGTTTGACGACGACAAGGCCTCACAGATGTTGGTTGCTTCCATTGTTACGAGGCAATTAAGAAATTACTGCACTATTTGCTTTCAATTAGAGAGCTGTTCAAATACTCATAATGCAGCGGCAAACGCTAAAACATTGCCGTCGTTTAAAGCCCATAACTTCCTCTGCGATATGTCCGCTCAATTTGCTTTGCTGATTGTAATTTTTTTTTTTGTTATGAACTTTCCATCTATTTAGCTGAAGTAATTATTTCTTCATTAGAATAATGAAGTATTTTGACCTAGATTAGGCAAGATCTTTTTTTCTTTCTCTTCTAACCCAGAGCACCACATTCTCATGTTCTTTCAATAGTGTCGCAGTTGTGTTTATTTTTTTAATGAATGGCCTCTTTGATTTTGGCCGAGGTCCTTGGCAGGAATCCCTGAGGTTTAGTGCCCGCTGAGATCACGCAAAAGCTCATGAATTTATCCAGCGCTGGCTCTGTGATCGCCTTTGTGAGGTATCTTCAAAACCCCAAAATACTACTGCATGTAACAGACAGGCTCTCTTCTTCATGGGCTTTTCAGTGCCGATTTCATTCGCATGGCCTGCCAATGACGCCAGCCTCCCGCAGACTAACAGGAAGCGGCGATATCAGCCAGTGCTCTGGTTCCACTCAGCACAGGAGGAGGCTCTGCTGCTTGATGTCTTGTCCCGTTCTATAAAGAAAAGATTATTTTCATCCGTCACACCCCGAAGAGGCTCACTCGAATTTGCCACCGGTTGGCATGGCGACAGGGTGGCACACTGCCTCCAGTGCACCAGCATGGAAATAGATACTAAGTTAACAGTTAATACAATATATGACATATCTCCCTTTTTCATCCGCTTTTAGTATTGACCGTTTCTTTTCCTCAATGTATATAATTTCTAAATTTAGCTCCTGCTCTTGTTCCAGCGGTAGCCTACTTAATCATCTCACATCTGTACATGCCCTGTGCCATCCCAAGTCAGCCTTAATACCCCCATGTATTATTCAATGGCTATCTCCATGCACGCTGCCTAACGGAGCCGACATGAATGGAAGTTGACACGGGAGACTCTGTCAGGTGGGATAGGATCTCGCATAGCAATTAGAAGCGTGGTAAGTGAGCTGTCTGGTCCGCATACACCAGATCTGCCAACCACATATTTGATAGCCACGACAGTGGCCTCCCTCTAATCGAGCACAGTGGTGTGTGTGTGTGTGTGTGTAACTACCATTACACACGCTGTTGTACCTGTTTCATAATCCAACATTAATCAGACATCTATTACGACAACTGGAACTGCAGTACACTATACGATGCCTTATCAGAGTATAAGCGCGCGCACACACAGGCCCTTAGTCTGAGACTTCTCCCCCCCCTGCTGTGCCAGCCCCCAGCTCGTCACGTCCTGGAGCTGATGCTGTCTAATAACTACTATCAAGACAATGATACAAATTATACTTCAAACAGTGATTCTGAGCAGCCAATTAGGTAACTTTTTCCCTGTGTGAGCAAGCTAATACAGCAGCTTCCAACCATTTTTGCATTTCTTTGAACGTCCGCTTGGGACTTCATCGTGTTTTTTTATGGGTTTGTACTCTGTTATTGTTTCCAGCTCGGACGCCAGCGTCGTCGCCGCAAAGACAGACGTCTTGTTTAATCAGAACCTCATAACAAAGTAGTTCCTTCCCATGCATGCTGTTCAGAGTAATCCAAGTGACAGGTCCATATGTTGGAGATACTATAAAGCAGATATTAGAGAGTGAATTAGGAAGGTGGCGGCAAGGTTTTAATTTACTCACTGAGCAGCTTACCAGACAGCATTTAAACTATTAATGCAGCGATTCTTTTTCAAAGCATATATCTAAATCATTTATTTAATTTCCCTTAGAATTATATATATATTAAAGTCAGAAACCACTGAAGCTGACACTATTAAAACAAAGGAAAACTGAATTATTGACGGTATCCGCTGATATGTGTTGAAATACCTTTTAAGGCATGTGGTGAAAATACATTCAGAGACTACAGGTCCGCACAGATTGGAATCGGCAAGTCAGACTTTGGCCAACAAATTTGCAATCAGTGCCTCTGTTGTCAGACATCACCAGTGGGAAAGCACTCTGATCATTGCGCTGTACAGATGCTGGGATGAACAGATCCATGAGTGGGGAGGAGGAGAGTTCTATCGGACCTTATAGCTTGTGTGTGTGCATGTGTGTAAATAGGGCGCAATTTGATATAAGTGCATCCTATTGTGTTTAAAGACCTGCTGCTGCTGCTATTCTCATGTTTCATACATGAGCTCATTAACGCCGCTCATCTTGCCCTCCTCTCCATCCTGACTAACACTCAGCCAGCCTGCGTCTGCCTCCTCAGGCGCAGCTCGCTGCTGGCAGACGGGCACAGGAAGCAACATAAGCCCTCCGTCCAACTTTATGCCCCACGGAAGGGCTCTGTATTGCAGACCTATCGATGCCATGTTAGAATCCCCTTTAATCCTCAGGCCGTCTCCACCACGATCCCCTCTTACAGCAGTGACAACCATCTTTCCTCAACTGTGTGTGCGAGCCAGCTGCACCTTTTGTACCGATTGGTGCTGTTGCAGTTTCTGTGCAGAGATTATTGCTGCCATACAGTGGCTTTATATATTGTAGCTAATTCTAAGTCAGCTTTAATTGTATAAAAGTTGTGATTTGTTTCTAGGATACTCCCTCATGGGCAATACAAGCGGTAAATGAAGTGCCCGTAAAAGGCTGTTCTCTCTGCTTCTCTCTCCATATAGAAAGCAGGCTGGAGGAGAACACTACCAAGTACGTCAAGTTACTGGAGGACAGATTGCACAGGTAAGAGTGCTTTGTGCCATCTCTTCCTTTTTAGTACAGAATCGATAAAAAGACTCAGTAAAGAGTAACAACAACAAAAAAAAAAGATAAACTGAGAAGCATCCTGCAGGATGCTTTTGTTCTCTAAGCAGAGCAACCCCTCTCCTGATTACGTCAACTCAACCATCTCATCGTGCACTCGCACCTTTTTCTCACGCCTTTCCCACATTCCTCTCCATCTCTCACCTGCACAGTTTGTCTCCCTCCTCCCACATCCTCCCAAAATTTTCTGCATGTTTGGTTTGTCATTCCTCCACGTCGGCTCAGTTGCCACATTAACCCCCCTTTGTACAAACTATCTCAATTCTGTCATTTCTATCTGCGCCTCCGGGGTCCTAAATAACGGAGGACGGGTCTCCTGTGCTGAGGGCGACAGTTACACAACAGGACCGCGATGTGCCGAGTAGCCGACTTATCCGAGCAAGGGGTGTGAACCTGTGCAAGTTTCGACGCCACGCTCGCGTTTATGTTTCCTCGTAGAGATCTGAGACGTTTGGCTCGTCTCCATCGACACAGACAGCGCAGAGTAGCGGCAATGCGATCGGCTTTTCTTGGTGGGGGGACGAGGCTCCGCGAGGTCAAGGTGCCACATGGCTGAGATCTCAGTGCCCAGCAGGGCAGCAAGCCTCGGGAACCTTTCCGTCAATAGGGCAGCTTATAGGGCCGCTTTGTGTTTTCAGAGTGCCTGTCTGTCATATGTAACAACAAGGAATAAGGAATGTGAGAGCATTTAAAAAAAATAGGTGCAGCCTATTCGACACACTACAAGCCATAGTCTGGATCCTATAAATACCATAATGCAAGCCACGAGCGTAACAACAGGGTGATCTCTTTTCACATTTTGGAGAGCTTCTCTGAATAGCACCGCTTGTGAAAAGTAAACTGAGCTTCAAGTGTCAAATCACTGGATTGCCCCTTTAAATAACCATGAAAAAATGTTTATAATTTAAAAAAATATATATTTTATGCATTTATTCTCCCTTGAGGTTAACTTTAGAGATTTTCAATCCGGTTTCAATTAGATTTCTGTCCCCTCAGTCCCACACTACCAATATCAATGAAACAATAATGCATAATTGAAGGCTACGCCTCCAGAAAAGTCTGGCTACTGAGGTCTTTATATCTGCCCTTTTAATAAATATCCAGAAGGTAAAACCATTTTGTGTTATGCATGCATCTAATTACACATTTGAATTACAAAAATCACACTATGGGACCTTCGTTGGTATTGGGTACCTTAAACTAATTTTCCTGCTCATCACATATGATGTATATTATTTTATTGGCCCAGCAGCTTTGGATCAGCTTCCATAACCAAAAGTGGTCCAGATCAAATCACATACAGCTTTGCCTCCAGGCGAGGGCCAGTAGCTTCTTCCAGCTCCAGTTTGGCACAGTGACACATATTTGGCTTGATTGAATGGGCAATTATCCTCACACGAGTATACACACACACACACACACACACACACACACACACACACACACACACACACACACACACGCACACGCACACGCACGTACCCTTTCTCCACTGTAAATTTCACAAGTCAGCTCTAACGTACATTACTGTTGATGGAGTGCGCTGGAGATGTGATGTGAGGGGAGGAAGAGGGGGAGGCGGGGAGGGAGGAGGAGAGAGGCAGATTAGTACTGGTGAGCTGTCTGGTCTCCGTGGAGACGGGAGGTGTTGAAAAAACCAATTATTTCTTCCTTGCTAAAGACTAGAACAGGATGTTAGATCAGCGCAGATGCTGTAAGTGTGTCACCAGAACAAAAAACATTTTTCATTCAGACGAGCAGCAGTGCACAGTTGTTTAATACGTTATGTAGATGCTTCATTAGGAAATGCCTCTTGAATATTTCCGACATTAATGCATTCTTCTGTTAGGATTTGGATGTCGTTTATCATATTTAATGGAGACAATGCAACCGGCCCTAGAAGTCATTAACATACTAGGAAGAGACATGTTCTCCAGTTAAAACGAGGACTTGCTGAGCAGGGAGTGAAAAAAAAAAAAACTATTAGTACTTTCAATGTACACAAATGTGAACCTAGAAGACAAATAAATGTGTATGTAACAGAGGAAACTTGGTTGTCCGCTGTTAAAAAAAACAACTCCCCAGACATCAAGCCACACAGCTTGTTCACCATCACACATTCTCCCTTTGAATGCCACCAGAATATTAGCACCTCTCCTCCGTTGGTGTTATTTGAGATGTTGCTGTGTGATTAAAGGTGAAAACATCATCATCTCCTTTGGTGTTTTATGGCTTATAGGGATCCTAAATATCAGGAGCACTGAGATGAAGCTTCAGCATTCATTTAATTCTATCCTGGATAATAATGTCTCTGGGAAATGGCTGATAGTTTGATAGCTCAAAACCTCCCGCTGTGACTGAAGATAGGGCCTGTGTTTCCACAGGCGGTCCGCCATTGCTATTCATGTGTGAGACCCGAGGATGCGGCTGAGCGCATGAACCGGATGCCGAGCAGAGTTCAGAACACGGGCCAGACAGTGTGGGGGGCTCCGCTTTGTGCTCCTGCACCCCGCAGGAGGTCTTAACTGAACCCGCTCGTCCCAGCTGAGCCAGGCCGCCGCCCCCGCTCCCTCCTTCCGGCACGTATCCTCACAGTGCTTCCTGCGTCCGTGCGGCAACGTGACGCCCGCAGCAGAAAGAGCAGTCCTGTCAGTCAGCGGTCCCACGGGAGGGGCCGACACCACGGCAGAAGGAGTGTGCCCGTCAGCCTCTCCTCCTTATTACGGGGGCCGTCAGCACCCTCACCACGCGGATGGTGGCTGCCACCAATTAACCCCCCCCTGGTAAGGGGAGGCGCGTCCCCACGGGCACCAGGAGGCCCGCCGCCGCCCCCATAGAGGGGAAAGAGCCGACTTGTTGTCCGCGTCCTCCGCGCTATGAACGCTCGAGCCGGAAGCTCGCCTCTTTGACGATGACGCTTTGACATTTTCGAAAAAAAGGAATTGTGTAAAAAGTGACTCCCCACAGGGGGTGATTGATGAGGTTTGAGTGGAAGCTAACGCGCGCGCCCGCCCCGTACCCGTGTGCGAGTGTGTTCCCCTCCACTTCAGAAGAGAGAATAACAATGGCATGGCTCACCGGGTGCGTCCCCACACAAGCCGCATAGCGAAGTGGCGGGGCCAGGGGTGTTGGGGGGGGGCACGGCAGTTTTTTCCATTGTCTGGGTGCCAAATGAAGGTTAGGGAACGTCTGAGAGGCGTGCGTTGGCAAAGTACGGGGGTTGGCAGCCCTTTCAGGCCAGAGACGGGCTGGAATACAAGTGGCGTTCAATTTGTTTAGGGGGCCTCGTGATGGTGAGAGTGGATGGAACAGAGGGAGAGATTAAACACTATTGTCTGAGTGTATTCTGCCTTTGAGTTTGTTTACATGAGATGTTGAATGAGCGATTTCTCAAATCTTAATTGCGCAGCAGGGAGGCACTCTAATGAAAATGCTGAATATGTTGCAGGACTACATCACAGGGCTTGTATGTTAATACATGTGTGCTTAGGGCACCTCATGGTGGATGCATCTCGAATATAAACCACGTATCTTTCTCATCCTTTTAAAGGAAAAAATCCTTGTTCCTCTAAACCATGTCAAAAAGCTGAAAATAGATTAGCTAGATCAATAGATTTAGTCCTAAAATATCACCTGGGACCACAATCATTTAGGAATAATTTGTTAACTAAGGTTGCTGAAAGAATAAGGGAAACATATAGAGTCAATCAGAGCTCCCACACACCGACCAGTTTAACCTAAATAATGCTACGATGAAGGGAGAAGTCCACTGGTCAGTGACCCCGTTGCTCATTTTCTAAATAACGCATTCAATCAGGTGCTTTTTCACTGGAACCCTCCGTTGTAACACTGGGAGCTTTGGTCCGGGACGTTACAAAAGGTCAGCGCCGAGGGAGAGTGGGGGGAAAAAAAGGGATGACGGATGGTAACTCACTGAGTAGATAAACAAAAAGCAATCTTCTCGTCCTCCCCCTGAACTCCTGCTCAGTGACCCCAGCAGAGATGAACACAACCTGGCTCTGTCTTCTGTCTCTGCTGCAGCTCTTTGAAGAGAAGGGCAGCGCACGACGAGGCCGCTCGTGCTCATTACGGTTTGTCAATGGAATAACAATCTTTGAATGATTCATCCCCGCCCCCACACTCTTTTGTCAGGGCTCCATTATAGAGATGTTATTAAAGATGTCCTTTCCTGTGCCTTTACAACTACTGCGCTCAGCTGTCGCGCAGCAGTTCTCCGCCGTGACGATCACACTCAGTGGAAGTTGCTCTTGCATTGGCGTCGTCGTGGCGTCAGCATTCGATCACAACGCGCTTGTAACACACAACAAACTATGTTTAGCATTGCGTTGCCTCATTGTTGTACCTCAGCCGAGCTACAGACAGAAAACGAGCCTATAGTTAAGCTAAAAGTGGGAGCAAATACGCAGCTTTAGAGCAGCTGCCGGGCCTCTGTTTACTTCACCTATAACCACCTCTAAAGGTCTCGTACACTGGTTGGTTGAGTGGCTGCGTGCCTGAGTTTCCTTTACAGCCACGTTGCACGTCACTTCCCACGCTAAAGTTGCAATAGATTCAAGTTGACGAGAAAAATATGGAAACTGACCCGTGCGTAGGCACATTAAACGAGACATTTGCGACACAGATGGTGAGATGGGGAATGGAAGCTATACTGCAGAATGATGCTTCAAACACATTTAATTTAATAGCTTGTGCGCCATAATGATTCCATAATCACCTTTTAATTGTAAAAGCTATAGGCAAAGTCAAATCTCTAATCAGATTTTGCTCATTACATCCTTAGAGCACTGAATTGGATGAGCTCAACACGATCAGATGTAGAAATGCAAGATGGCATCAAAATTCATTGAATGATTTCACAACACACTTAAGCTAAATGTCTCCCATCTAGATAGTATAGTAGCTAGATAACGAGTAAAAAGACCAAATAAATAATATATATGAATACATCTACAGTTGTTAAGTATAGTTTCAGTATTATGCCATATCTAACTATCATATTTTTAATTTTCTGGATTGCACCAGATTGTGTTGTGTGCTGCAGAATTGTGTTTTTTCTTTTTTTTCCCCCTGATGTCTTCCATTAGACATTCTAAGGGTAACATATTGTGTCTTGTGTTGGTCTGTTGTCTCTATAGCTGTGGCTGTCCGGGCTTGGAGCGGATCTGGGACGCCGACCTGGAGGCCTGTCACCTGTTCTTGCGAGGCCTCCAGCTGCGGACCCCCCGCTGCAGCGGAGGAGACGTCGAGGACCCCCCCGCTGCAGCGGTTCATCCTCCAACCCGGCCGTGCACCAAAGAAGAAGAAGAAGAAGACTGTGCCATGCTGACTGCGCTCGGCGGGCGCTGGTGTCCCGAGGCCAACCTGCAGAACTCCGAGTTCACAAAGGTACCGCCTGTGCTTTCACACCGCGGTACATGACGGAGCGACGTGTGCCGTGCAAACAGACATTTAGATCTTAAATATAGAAGATGCCCCTTTGAGGCCGTCCATCATTTATGTGTTACACATTTTCAACACATGACAACACAGCTTTGCTACTGAGCAAAGTCTTATTTAAAAGATTCACTTCTTATTCTAGCTTTCTTTTTTACTGTGTGCCTGCACGGTCATTCTCACCACTTGACGGTAGAGGAGTTTTTTTTTTTTTTTAGTTCATACGCCGTTCTCAGAATATGAAAGTCTGTCGGCTTCAGCCAGATGAGCAGCAGGCCATTAGCACTTTTGCTCAGAGGTAGTTTTTTCAAACGAGGAAAATGTGGGTGCCAACCGCTTGGACCATTTTTGGCTTCCATGAAGAGTTTCTTTCTACAAAGTGCAGATTTAAGAGCCTCTTTCTGCGTGATTACATGTGTTTAGCGTGAACGCATACGTGCGTGTGTGTGTGTGTGTGTGTGTGTGTGTGTGTGTGTGTGTGTGTGTGCGTGCACGCTCTGTGCCGGCTCATCCATAGTGAGTTGAGGTCCACCGCCTCGGGGCAGAGTCCAACTCATTCTCCCATCACACTCCTCCGCCCACTCAGTCTGACAGACTGGTTTGAGATAGGAACAAAGCCAACATTCATGAAAAAAATCCCCGAAAAATAGCACATCTACCCGAGAGCTTTTGTGAGACTACAATCCATTAGTTTAGCACAAAGACGTATTTCTATCCTGTTTGCTTTGTTTTCATGGATTTACTCAAATATTTCTAAATGAATTTAATGGTGATAGTTGGCAGAATTCCCACATGCGTGTATTAAAACTGACATTCTTATTTAATTCTTCAACTGTTGCACCCTCTTAACCTCCCCTCACAGGTCTTTGTGCAGCCATAACTATAAACCTTGCATTGACGTCTTCTTTCCCTACCCTGGCTGACAGCGTTTTTACAAACTGCATGGATCCATTTTCTGCTTTCCCTTCTTTTCCCTGGTTTCCTTTCTCCCCCCAAAAGCCCGGCCCCTCCTAACATTTCTCAGAGAACTAAAAGGTGAGACAGCCAACCATTTCTCTCTTTTGTCTCCGTCCTGTTCACTCTGTCACCTGCATCCTAGGAGCTAAAAACAGGTGGCTTGAAAAATACATTTTGGCAAGTTCAACGCTTTGGCAGGAATCCATGATCATTTCAGATCATTAGCGCTGTTCTATTTACAAATTTCAACTTTACGTTGAATTGGTTCGCACACAATACGGTAAAAAGAACCTACGGCGTTCACGCACAGGGATGCAAAACATGTTTAACATTAGAGTAGAAAATATTCTTTCAATCTTTTGTCGAAGAGAAAAGTGGGATAGCAGCACATTAAGTGGACACTTTTGGTCCTGCAGCTCTGGCTTTTTCCTTCCCGAAAAGCAAACAATTTAGAAACATCTTGGAAATCTTGATGTTATAATAACACTTTAGCCATTCAGTATATTTCTGCTTATGTCACTTTTCTAAATATATTCAAGGACCCACATATCAAAAGGCTTTGCATCTGAGGGCAACAGACAATAGCTTAAAACCTTCCAAGCTAGAAAACTGCCTGTGACAGATTACATGCTGGAAGTAATTGAAAAGAGCAAAGAATATCCAGTTTGTGGGACTGGTTCAAAAGATTTAGCGATTAAATGGTCTGATCTCAGATAGCGTACCGAGCATGAAGTTACATGTGTCGTAATTCTTGATTAATAAATGATTAAAATTGAGCTAATTGTTGTTGTTACTCTGCCTTCTTACGTACTTATCCTAAAGCCAAAAACAATATGTTTGCCTCGATTAGGTACAGTTATAATTACTTCCTTAGTGAAGAATAACAATAACACGCTTTGAATACTAACAAAGGAAACCTGCAGTACAGATGAGCCGGTTAATCTATTTCCTCCTTGTCAGTTTTGGTGCTGAATAATTACAACCTCCTCCTCATTATGATGATGCTGCGCACATACAGTACACAGATAACATAATTGCATTTTCAATAATTCATGAGCAATGTGGCCTCAACAAATGTTCCCCTTTTGTTGCAGAAATTGGAGGAGTTTTTGTTCTGCATGGAGGAGAATCACGCCGAGGTTGGTAACGCCAACACTGTCCCTACATAGTGGAATGTTACCGGTGTAATTAAAGGGCTCGCTGCGATGCACAGGAATCCCTCAGTTGACCATAAGCAAAACGTGACCTTTGCCACCTTTCTGGCCGTCCGGTTGATACTGATCTACATGAGAAGGGTCGGGCGGTCGTGGCTGTCTGAGATTGCACAATAACATAAACCGACCTTTGTGTAAACAGGGAAGACTTTTGCTCAGTGTGTATTCCCCTTTCAACGCCTCCCGGCTTTAAATTCATACATTTATATTCATCTGCACCTGGTTGGAGAAACATGGATATATGTACTTCTTTTAGAGAGTGTCTCATGGAGGGTTTCAAGTCAGAACATACTGATGTGAGTCTTATTTCATCCTGGATGTACAGATGTTTGTAACGAAAAGAGCAATCGGTTGGTCTGGCAGAGACAGATAAGCCTCTCGGGCGATGGTCAAAGTACAGTTGTAGGTTCTATACACGCCTTGCTTCTGTGTTGTCTCCACATGTAAACAAGTGAAAAGGACGCTAACTTTTGGCTTCCTACATCACGGAGCTCCGGTTATACAACTGTGCCACAATACAACTGTGAAATCTGCCTGAGACAGTTGTCATTTTTCAGCTGCCAAAACCTTTGAATTCCAGCTAGAAATGAGAAACCTGCCTTTGTCTACTGCAGTCTGAAATCAAGGAGCCATTGTTGAGGAAAACCACCGGTTACTTGTGTGAGAATGGGACGCTTAGCAACAGTAGCTATGGTTGAAATGGTCAGCTGGTGGATGGGACGGTGACGTGTGCAACGTGGAATCGCGGTGGATACATCGCACAGTGTGACGAGTCGCTGAGTGTTTGATGTGACGGCCGTTGAATGGTGACGGTGCGTTTGTCTCAACGCGGTTGGGACGGCGCTGCGGAGGAGCTGGATTCCCTCTGACCTCTTTCTCCTTTCCGTAATGACTTTAAGTAAATGATTTCCACTTAGCCGCTGCCAAGCCGCTGCCACAATGGAGATTGATTGGTGTGTGTGCGCTAGTGTGTCTTTGCTCTTAGAATCTCTCCTAATTGTTCTTTCATCCTCTCAAGGTCCTTACACTACCTGCTTCATACTGACTCGCACTACCTTGTACGTTTAAATGCATTACCGAATTGAAGTGTTAGCTGCTTCCAATGACATTTATTAATGCAGTGTTTTTTGGGGTAATGTGATTTTACACTAACCCTGTTCAAAGGGATGATCTGTGTCAAAATTCTATACAGCCTTCTAATTGATGCGATCTTCATATACTGTTGTTGCCGTAACTAGCAGGAAATGGATACAATTTTCCAACATTGAATGCAAAACAATTAAGCAAACTGAGAATGGTTATGAGGTTAAAACAAGTAGTGCTAAATAAAAGTATCCCGTTTGTAAAAAGACACTTTCTCTTTGTGACATTTTCAGTTGCACTTTGCAGAGTTGCTTGAAATGTGTGAGTTCGTTATAAAAAAAAAGTACTTGGAATACTTATATTCTAGCTACTTACAATAGGTCTTTGTCAGTTAACTAATTCAACTAACAAATTCACTAAAAAGCATTTAAGAGCTAGCAGAAACTTATTAGCACGTCTGTTGGAATTAATATTCTTAGTGGAGAAAGTTAATTTCACAGATCGGTCGATTAAATCTCCTAATAGAGTAAATATTATGTGTGCAAGAAGTACGAGCATCAGACAGAAAACAAATGCAGGTGTTGATCAGACTTTGTAGAATATCCCTCACTTTGTCTCGCTTGGTGGGAAAACGCTTTGTAGTGTCCAGTACAGATTTGGGGGCAAAGCTGCAGACGTCATCGCCTCAGCGCGTAACTGCACTCGTTTCTAAACGACCTCGCAGACGGTCCTTGAAACTGATTCCCAAGTGCGGCGCCAGTAACTTACTAATAAAGGCATCGCTGATAGAAAAACACGAGAAAATCACAAGCCGGCCAATTTCTCTTTGAGTTCAAAATGAATTCAGCGGCTTTATTGTTTGGCACAATCAATTGTGACCTTGAGAGTTGTACCAGTGGCATATAATTGCTTCGTATCGCCTCTTACATCACCCGTGGGAACATCCACAATTACCTGCTGTCTCTCGCGCTGTATTGCTTAAATAACCATACCGCCGCAAACATGAGTTGGAATATTGAATTTCTAAACAATCTGTGCTTCTGCAGTCGGCTTTGTTTACCTTTGTTGGAATAACATAAGCAGTAATGTGGGAATCAGGAATAAACACGCCAATACATGTACGCCGGGGATTCTACGATACAAATTGCCGTGTTGTTGAAATCTCATTTCAGAGGTTTTATTTTTTTTCCATTTGTATTGTGTTGATCACCTACAGGAGCAAGATAACATCTTTTTAATAGTTGTTTAAAGAGGTTTGTGTGCTAAGGGATGTTTTCCAACAGTGTCATCCTGCACACAGTCTTCTATCCTCTGGCTTTATTGATTATTCGAACGCTGACTGGAGGCTGTAAAGTATAGAATCAATCAGCTGAACAAGCACAGGGCTTTTATCTGCTAAAGAAGCTGCTAACATTGACAAACAAACAGCTCGGTCAGTCTGTAAGTGCTTCATGGAATAGGAGGACAGGGATCCATGAGACACCGAGGTGACGCCCGAGGACAGAGCTGCGTCAAAGAGTCTTTGTTCGTTTAAATGCCTCGCACACAAAAAAACGTGACGTTAAATCGTTTGTCCAGTGAGCTTTTCAACTCGAAGTCCTTAATTGCACGAGGGAAGACTATCGATGTGCCTCGCGCCTTTTGTTGTACATTTCTTTTGGGGTGTCACGACATTTCGGAGAATAAGTGCGGTTCCAGGACAGAGACGCAACTTTCGCTTCATTGTTTTGACACCTCTGAGCTGCAGGGACTCGATGTTTTCTACCTGCAGCCATGAGTCAGATTAGACTTTCCATGCGTTCGACGGCCTGCGCTTGCACGTCTGTGTGTGTCTATTTGCTGTAGTGTGTCTGTGTACTCCTGCGCGTGTGTTTGCGTTCCCTACGCTTGATAAGTGTAAAGAAACTAGGACACGACGTCTGCAAAGGGGCCGTTCTAATTCTGTCCAGCTCGGCTCCCTGCTGCACTCTGCTCCTCCATCACCCCTGACATTTCCACCAGCAACCTCCGGGGGACGTGCAGACCCATGTGGTGTGTTTATTTTGTACACCATGATCTTGATGCCTTAACAAACGGAGATTTGGGCAGCCTTCAGACTCGTATCTGAAACCATTTTGAGAATTTATTGTCAAACAGATGAAATGTGCCTTGTGACACCGAATGGCTCAGTGTTACGCTCTGACTCATGGGAGCACACATACAAATGAACAGGAATTAAATGGACTAAAGAGAAAACAAATGGCAAACAAACGGCCTACTGCTGTGTGTTGGGGTTGTCTGTTCATTGTAACCTTTTCGGGCACCTAAAAGTGATCAATTGTACTTTACTGCACCCCGTTGGGTCACTTCTGGTCACAAAAAGCCAAGATGGAGGCAACCAAATGCCACACTCAAACCTCCCAAACAGTAGTCAAACTAATGAAGATAGTTTCAAATTCAGTTTGTTGTTGTTGTCATTACTTTTGTACGGGATTAAAGGATGCAGATCTTTGCATTATGTAATAATAGGGACTAATGTACAAAAATGATTAGAAACAGAATTTGCATTACAGAATGGAGACGTGAAATGTGTATGATGTTACCGTGCAGAGGGCGGCTATTAAAACACTTTCCAGTTGCAAAATGGGAATTATAGAATGCAGTGTTTTCGGAGCTTGATCTATAGCTGAGACTCAGGGGGCTTTTTCATTTGGTAGACGCCACGGGAAAGGTTATACATACACAATGCGAGTAAACAAGAGGTGATACCAACTCACGAGCATGAGACAGTTCTGGCGACTGGCTTCTTCCATCATCAGGACCAACGTGGGGGAATCCAATTCTGGGGGCCGAGTTTATGCAGCACTTTAATCCTCCGATGTGTATTTTTATGTTGAGTGCAAATAGGCGAATTATAACCATTATTGGTATTATAAGGCTGCAAGTCGTCCTCATGTTATGAACAACGGCTAACAGGTAGAAACAGAACTGTACAAAAGTCCCGTTGCTCCCAGATGACACTCAAATTAGCATCGGGCGCTGCACAGTCACACGCTGGAGGCGTCTTGTACAGAAATGAGTCTGGCATATTGTGCCAGCTCTTTAACACACTTTTTAAATAGACCTAAATAACTAACAAAGTGTACGCGGTCGGATCCAAAGCACATCAGTTAAGTCATGCATACGGTATCGATCAGGTTTGAAATCAGGTTACGATCGTTGGCTTTCTGATCATAAACAAACGGGTCTATCTTTGACACAGAATAAGAACCACGATTTCAGGCGACTTGATTTGGTTGTTCGGGTTTTGACTGAGCGCTTTCACACCCGCCTAAATTAATCATACCAACCAGGCTAACGCACCAGAGTTTGTTTTAACCAAACTAAAAGGGTTCGGTGGGAAAGCGCTCTGAAAGAAAGGATATCTCTGCTTCCATTTCGACCGGTCTCTTCTAAATGTCTCTTGTGAGTTTTGGGAAGTGAAATTCTAACCAGCAGCTTAATTAGCTTTGAGTCAGTTTTTATCAAATTATTCCAAAGCTCCTCAATATTGTAGTGCTAAAACCCCTCCCATCATTTCCATGTTTTCCTTTCAGGTTGCCTGTTATTGTCAGATAGACTTTTATTCCTGTTCTACAATATCAGACGCATATATTTGCAGCTTCAGTCATCCTCTTCTTCTTTTAACCGGCGTTTTATTCCTTACCCTCGCCAGGATGGCTGCAGCGAGACGGCGGACCTGACAGAGCGCTGCGAGCTGATCAGTGATAGGCTGCTGACCTTGGAAGATGAATTGCAGACGGCCGTACTGAACCGGGACTGTGTCCTTACCCATATCCTTTCACTGTTCTCTAAATATACTGTATGCTACCTGTGCGTGTTTCTGTCTTTGTCCATCCATCTTCAGGACCTAGTTTCCTCGAGGTCTTTACACTCTAAAAAAAGCACACAGCCGAACTACCTTTAGGCCCTCTGATGTTCTGTGACTTTACCTTTTGTGAGGGAAAAAAAAAATCAACCTGTCTTATTTGACATTATGGGACCATTCAGCTAAGGAATTGCAGATAAACTGGGATCAGAGGATCTTTCTTGACATGCCTGCTGAAAAATGGTAAAAGTCCTCGTGAGCTTATTGGGGGGCGCTTGATGTGGGCTGCCAGTCACCACGGGCTGAGATTAAAGTCGGCGAACGGGAGCGAATTGGAATGTCACCGTAATGACTCTGCTCCCGTCATATCGTCACGTCCACCCTCCCGCTGACCCTCGCCCCCCTCCACCCCCTCCTCCGTCTGCTTACTTCCACTTGCTGCATCTGGCTCGGAGGAAATTACAATATCTATGATAATGACTCAAATGAAGCTGATTACCGGTTACAATACATAATTTTCCGTGCTAATTAGAAAGCTGATTGGAAATAGATTAGTATGTTTTTCTCTCTCTCAACTTTCCCCCCCTTATTAAGCCTATTAATGTGGATAGAAGGGGTAATATTTTGTCTATTTTTCCGTATAACCTGCTGTTATGCTTTTTATTTTGTGTCATGCCTTTTAAAACAGTCTGCCAAAACTGATCTAATAAAGATATTGATTTCATTTTAGGATCTCTAAAAAGGTCTGCATAATTTCCTACGTCCTTCACCCTGTTGAAGTGTGGCCAGATTTCTTTTGCCTCTGATTAGAGATTCACTTCCCTCGCTGCGCTGTCAGGGGTCAGTACAGGCTCCTCGTCTGAGTGCATGATATCAGTGCAGCCAGCCAGTCGGAGACAGACAGACGAGCCTGCTTCTTTCCACCTCTCGGTGGCCGTGTCCTTACATGCCATCCATCCTAAATTCACCGTGGACACTAGAGGACACTGAAGATATGGGACAATTTTGCTGTTGGGTTGCAGAAATAGAAAAGAGGAACGGAAACCTAGGATGATGCTACTGTTGCCATAGTGACAGGAAGATCAAACCCCCCGGTCTCTAAGGGTCTTAATTGAGTCTCTTCTCTCAATATAAGGCCAGAGATGGAAAACTACAGAGACTGAAATAAAAAAAAAAGAAAGAGTAGGCAAATCTCTGTCAATATGTGGTTGGTTTTAAAAGGTCTTATTTGGACCATATGGCCTTAAAAGTGTTGCATATTGTCTTTAGTTTTTATGAAAAGCTTTTTAACGGCTGGTTAATTATTGATGAGGACGATCAATGTCCATTCAGACGGTAAAACGACCCATCGGGGCGTCCTCTGTCATCGAAGCCATCCCTTTGATTCACCACTTAAGATGGACACTTGCACGATTAATTCAATCTTCTAAGCGGGTTAAACAACCCCCACCCTAATGACAGCCTGTATCCTGTTTCATTGAGGGTTTATGAATAATTTAGTTGGGCAGTCTGTTTGTTTGGGCCCCCACGCCGCCACCCAGCTCCACAGATGAGCTCATGAATAGGGAATTGGATGGGGTTAAATTGGGTATGACTTGATGATCTGTCCCGGTAATCCGTTTGGTGGCCAAACTGGAGATTGATGACTTTGTCAGGTCAAGGCCGTTACCGTTAACCATCGCCAGGCCACAAGTGTCACATTTGCCCCGATATTCATTTGCTGGCGGGCTTTTTATTTGCATGTTAATGTGATTCTCCGTTTGTGTCAGATTCTTCCTTAACGCACACTGCACAGTCGTTGGAAAGGGAGGTTCAGGAAGTAAAAGCCACTTTACAAGCCATGCTTGCACAGCTGAAAGAGGAAGAAGAGGGGGAAGAGGAAGTGAACGGGTTACAAGATGATGACCTCATGAGGAACGGGACTACAGAAGAAGAGGAAGAAGACGAGGAGGATGAGGAGGAGGACCAGTACTTTAGTGACAGCTGGGGCGTTTGAAATGGATTCATGTAGGGTTTTATGACCACTCACACACAGACGCGCTCTCTGAGAGCCTGACCTCAGCTTTGCAGCTGGATTGACCTCTTATCCATTTACTGTAAAGCCTCACAAGCAGCCTCTGTGATACTGCTGAATGTCTCCAGGACAAAGCCCTGCAGAGCCCGTGGAACCTTTCATCCATCTACAGACGGACAAACATGAAGGATTTTGGTAGAATTACTAAATAGAAGACACTTTAATACATTTTCTCAATCTTTGTCAGCGAGGCACTTTTTTTGGTGTTTTCAGTACAATTAGACCAGTTATGTGGCCTTTTATACGTGAAATAACTAATTTGTGGTGCTATACAGAATGTGAGCTAACTTGAACACTTTTGTGTACTAAAAGCTCATATTTCCTACGAGTGTCAAAGCACTTATTGCTTGGAGAGATGCTCTGTAGTCCATCCGTCCCAATACTGAAATAGTCTTATGATTCAGGAAAGGATAAACTATCAGTGGAATATCAGTAATTGTTTTGTAAGTCTTTGTAACTGCCACTGATGTTGTTTTATTGGGTTTAATATCATCACAGATCTTCATTCCACTGGGTGTCATGTGACTTTTTGCCAGAAACACTTTGTACTTGCACCCATTAATCATTTTTTTGTTTAATTGCCTGTGGAGCTTGAACTCTCTGTATCTTATTTCATATTTATTCCTAACGGCATCCCACTAATTACAGATTGCACCTTTCAGCCTCATGTTTTGTCTCGCTGTTTTTCTTCTTGTGTTGAGTTACAGCTCCTGTGTTTTTTTCCCCCCCCTCATATAAAATGTGCAGGCATGCGTCAAGGCAAGTGAGGGCAGTGGTGACATGTAGGAGACATCAATACGGTAATAAAAGGTCCTCTTGTGAGCTCTTTAGGGGATACATGGGCTTCTATTGTTATCTCCCCTCAGCAGCGGCGGTGTTGCTAATTGGGAGGCGGCCTCGCAGAGGACACGGCGGAGGAAACGGGATGATGTTGCTTTCTCTCCCATCGGATTCTGCCCATTATTTTTGGAGCAGGGACCCTGTTCCGGGATCCTCGGAAGCACGTCTGCCGCGCCGAAGACGCAGCCGAGTGCTCGGGGTTCTTTTCCAGAAGCACAATGGGCCTCTTCTCCCTGGCCGGGTTGCAAGCCGCTTGCCAGGACAGAAGTCTACACATCTGTCGGTCTGTTTTAATGGAATATGTGCTTGCATAAAAATAGCCAGCTGAAATTTTTAAAAAGGTGGTTTTCAGCAGGCAGATATAGCAGGGTGAGAGATTTCCTGAAGGAGGCTGGAACGGGTTCTACATATGCACGTTTAGGATGTATTGGTACACTGAAGCTGTAGGTCTCACGCACAACGTCACCATCCCCGCAGCTCCACTCCACTTCACATGTGGAAAAATTGAAAGATTGACACACCTGCTGTGCATAGTTACGGTTGCTAAGCTGCGATTGGACAATTGCTGTTTGGGAGAGCGGGTTGGCAAATGTGTTGAAGAGCCTTCTGGCAGCTCTCAGTTCATGCAGCACAGAGCCTTTTGACATTGAGTAAAATCAATCCACATAACGATATAAAATGTGCCAGTGAGATGAATTGGTCGGTGTTTGACCCTAATTTATTCATTTTTAAGAATTTTATTTGTCCCTGAGTTTCATCCACAAATACAATATATATATATAAAAAAAAGACAAGTGATGTTCAATCCCGTATCCACATGTTTCTGTGGATTTATGAATATTATATCATGACGGAATGAATTATTTTTAGGATTGTCTGGATTTGGGTGCACGGTTTTGTTTTTGATAGCGTGCTGAGATGTTATGTTGTCTGACAGGTACATGTATAAACTCTCTGAACCGTGGGAGACTGGCAGATTTTCCTCCCTAGCATCTCAGACACCAGTAATTAATGCTAATTGGGTTTTTTGTGTGTTCATGCCTTTCACATCCTTCGAGATCCTCATATGCTCCTCTGAAAACGACACCTCTGTTACGTGTGAGCGACTGCGTGCCGGCTCTGCTCATTGAGTCAGTGAAGTTTATTCTCCTGAGTGTGGGCTTTTGTACAGAGACAAAACTGGACATTGGACTCACGGTGGCTTTTTATGCCACTTTTAACTCAAATATGCACGTGCCTCGACGGTTTCATAAATACAACTGGGCACTTAAATAGGGAGGCTATTCCTGTGCAAATAATATGCGTTTGAATCATCATCACAGTCTGACAAGTATTCCCATCGCAAAATCTACATATTTCTCTGCACAAACAAGACACAGAGCATGCTGAACAGAGACGACTGCAAATAGCCGGCCTTCTTCTCTTTCATGTGGCCTGAGCCCAACGTTGAAAATCACACTTAATTATGAACACTGTGCCAGCGGGAGCAGCAGTCTCCTCGGAAACAGACCCTCAGTACTTATGGTCTATGTAAAATCACAGCATTGGTGGGAATGCACTCACAAGGCTGCAAGCACATGTGTGCTTATATCTTATTTTTTATGTCTAATAAACAACACTTGCCCTTTCAGAAATGACACTTAGTTTTACTAAGAGCCCTTTAGAAGGAACGCAGGAGTTTAAGGGGGCAGAAGTGGAGGAAACAAGCGTCAGCGCAAGAGAGTTTCACAGATTGTGCAAAAACCCCACGGAAATATCACTCCTTTACATATTTTATCATTCAGACTGAACTTGAAATAATGAACCGCCATGTGATCTATCCGCGCAGGAAGACCCTGAGGAAAAAAATAACAGAAAGCCACATTAAAAGATATTTAAATCACTGATGATTCAAGAGTCTGACATCATATATTCTAAAACTAACGAAAGAGCCTGCGAGGTACTGTGATCCTCTGGGACCGGACAGATGGCGGAACGTGTATGATGATAACAGTGCTGAGTAGGAGTTCATTCAACAACAGCACTGTTTAATGGCTCTACTGTGACAAAAACACTATCAACACCAGCGACCGAACCAAACCATGTTTTATGGTAGAACAACTCCCCGAGGCACACAATAAATGGAGTTTTGAGTTTCACATGTTTGTAATAAATTGAATAATGCGCAGACAGCGTAATAGACAGTAGCTACTGAGGATTTGATGTGTTGTTCAGCCTCTGATTCCACCTGCTGATTGCATCCCGGCAGCACTAAATTGGACCGATCATATACGTGATCTGGACGCATGATGCTGTGATTATGCATGCATTGTATTTGCCTTCTTTCATTTATTTAGGGACATCGTGTGCATATAGAACTGGTATAGCAGTTAGGTTTCTTATATTTTCCATTCACTCTTTGTGTGGTGGAAGTAGCTCCGAACTGAGCCACTGAAAATAAGGAATTATTAAGGAAACTTTCTTCAGATTACAGATTACTTCTATACCTTATTCAGAGCACGAGTAAAGCAGGAAACAAATGCTACTGTTCTGCTGGCTGGGTTGAAAATAGTATTACATAAAGTAACTCGCCTCAAATTAGTACATCTCTCTCAATTTAACTCTGAGTGAACCTGGAGAAACGCACCAAACACGTTTGGGATTAAAAACAAATACTTACAGTGTCACATACTGTGTATTTAATCCCGGTTAGAAGTGTCATAAATGCTCAAGTCTCTTGGCAATTACTCTCAAGAGCTTAAGCGCACTTCTCTGCCCCAAAAAAAACAGAGCAACAAGATCAAAGTCAAGAGGAACTCTATGTGACACACAATCTAATCTCTTTCGAAGGATTCACAGTATCCACGTGTCTGCGAGAAATCACTGTCAAACCTCAAAACAACAGTTTTGACAGTCTTTCTGAACATGAAAGAGTTGGTTTGTATCGAGCAAAGCGATGTCGGTGCTGCCGTCTCACGTGCTGATATCAAAGCGAGCGGGATATACCCGCCTTATACTACCGCGAGAAGCAACGGATTACTCTGGTGTCCAGACAAGAAAAACATAATGTTGATAATTCCTCTGGGGGGGGCTCCTTCATTCAGGTCCACGGCGGAGCACTTCCTCCCAAGAAGGCCAGACACGCGTCTCACCTTGTAGCGTCGCCCTGGGACGGGGCTGTCACTGCAAGGCTGAAATATCTTCCCAGCTCTGCCATCCTTCCCACTTAGTCTGTAAAGCAGGCAGGTACCACACCGGGGGGAGACGGGATCGATGGATCTGATGGATGGAGCTGGCTGGGCTGGGGACGGGCGGGTGAGGGGCGAGGTAATGAAAGCTTCTGTGAACGACTGGGAGGTTTCTGCCACGGGGAGGCCGAGCGCGTGGGCCCCCCTTTCCTTTCACTGGAGCTGCCAGTTGGGTCTAATGAGACCGAGTCGGGCTCCCGTCCTGGGGAGGGACGAGGTGATGGGAGATGCTGCTGATGCCGCTCAGCAGCTGTCAGGAACAGGAGATACGACGTACCCGCACAGCGGGAAGCTCGCTTTGTTGTGGTGGTTGTGAAACCAGGACTGCTGGGCATTTGTATTTATTCCCAGCTAGATAACCAGCCACTTGGTGCTCCGGGCGTAAGACGGCTCGGATTGACGCCTGAAGCGTTTTTTGTTGGATCAAATGAGTCAATGGAAAAGGGGTTGCTCGTAGTGATGAGTGCTTCCACCAGGGCCTCTTGTTAATGATTTTAGTTTTGCGCTGACGATGTTTTATTCTGACTTTGTTCGTAATGAAACCCTTTTTAGGTCACGACGCGGTTTCTTAAAGTGACAGGCTCAGAAAACTCACATGCCACTATTCTGCCATATTGATCAAACACGACCTTTGTGACCTGATTTTACGGTTATTCATGAGAGCTCTTTATACCCAATAGATTACCGCGTTGACCTTTGGTTGGTATCTGATTTATGCCGCCTGTCCTGTTGAAAGGGGTCACTGCCCGGGTCACGCTAATCTCATACTGTTGAATTGAAATCATTCATCTTTACCCTTTTGGTGGGAGTGACGGTATTAAATGAATTGTCCCCAAACCTTTTTAGTTTTAAGTGATCACACAGAATCAAAGGGTCTCTGTTACTGGAAGGTCACACTGTGTGTTCACTCATGACACATAAACAAAATGTACTTTATTTGAAAATAGCCCGCAACCCTATTTATAGCAATTTAGCCTGGAGAAGTGCAACATTTTAAGTGTCAAGAGCAATTGTATGTGCCCTCTCAAACTTCCCCATCCTTCTTCAGCATTAAAACACAAACGCAGCAAACTGATGATGAGGAGCGGCCCAAGGACATTACTGCCATTTAGAATTTAAAAAGGGCGGGTGAAAAAGGGGCGAGGAAATACAGAATGACAGAGAAAACGGATAGTGATGCGAGTATTCCTGTAGGGGAGAACATATATCTATAAAAGATGCAGGCTGTAACACGCATCTGAGCATAAATGCCTTTTGATACATGTGGCGCCTCACCAACAACAACACAAAGCCATTCTGAAAGGCTTCGCAGTTGCACAGGAATGTTCACCCCTAGATGTAATATTAATCAGCATTTGCAGCTACAGTCGCCTGCATCGGCTCGACATTCACCCGGCAAGAATGATTGAAATTAAATGGAAGTGGTAAACAGACTCACTTCTACAGGAGACCAGATTCAAATGAAAGCTACAATATTCATCACAGAACTTGGATTAAAGAATCGGGGCACGGGGAGACTCACAAGTCTGTGTGTTTGCTGAAGGATTGTTCTGGAAAATGCGTTTCTTAAACTACATGTCCGATACTTAGAGATCAACAG